AAATACTTAGAAGGAAATTTACAACTTTAAACATCAGTGTCAAAAAAAGAAATCTAGGGGTGCCTGGGTGGCTCAGTGGTTGAGCATCTGCCTTGGCTCAGGTCTGATCCTGGGTTCCTGGGATCAAGTACTGCATCAGGCTCCAAGCACAGAGCCTGCTTCTCCCTTTGCCTATGTCTCTGCCTCTCTCTCTCTTTGTATCTCATGAATAAATAAATCAAATATTTTTTTAATTTTTTTAATAAATAAAATATTTTAAAAAGAGAAAGAAATCTAAGTTTCAACCTTAAGAAACTACAAAAAAACAACCAAATAAACACAAAGCAAGCCAAAGAAAGGAAATAATTTTTTTTAATTTTTATTTATTTATGATAGTCACACACAGAGAGAGAAAGGCAGAGACACAGGCAGAGGGAAAAGCAGGCTCCATGCACCGGGAGCCCGACGTGGGACTCGATCCCAGGTCTCCAGGATCGCACCCTGGGCCAAAGGCAGGTACCAAACCGCTGTGCCACCCAGGGATCCCAAGATGAGAGCATAATATGATAAAATAGAAAACAGAAAAATAATAGAGAAAAATCAGTGAAACTAAAAATTTGGTCTTTGAAAAGATCAGTAAAACTTATAAATCTTTAGCTAGATTGACCAAGAGAAAAGAGAGAAGATACATATTAGCAAACTCAGAAATGAAGGAGAGGGCACCACTATGGCCTCAACAGAATTTTAAAGGGAGTATAAGGAAATGGTGTCATCAATTTTATGCCACCAAATTAGGCAATTTAGATGCAATAAACAAATTCCTTTAAAGATACAAAGTATCAAAACTGACTCAAGAAGAAACAGAAAATCTGAACAGACCTATAGAAAATAAAGAAACTTGAATTAGTAATTTAAAATATTTCCATAATGAAAAATCCAGACCCCAGATGATTGCACTGGTGAATTCTATCAAATGCTTATAGAAAACACCAATCCTTCCTGTATTCTTCAGAAAATAAAGGAGGGAGGAACACTTACTAACACATTCTATAAGGTCAGTATCATCCCAATACCAAAGCCAGGCAAAAACATAGTAAGAAAAGAAAACCATAGATCAATATCCCTCATGAACATAGATGTAAAAATTCTAAATTACATACAGAAGGTCTCCAAATTATAATGGTGCAATTTACAATTTTTTGACTGTATGTTAATGCGAAAGCAATATGCATTCAGTTGAAACATATTCTTTAGATTTTGAGTTTTGATCTTTTCTGGGGCTAATAGTAATGTGGTACTGTGTTCTCTTGTGATGTTGGGCAGCAGCAGCAACGAGCCACAGCTCTCAGTTTTGCCCAACTATAAGCTCATCTAAGTGTTCTGAGCACTTAGTTTAAGGTAGGCTAGGCCAAGCTATGATGTTTGATAGGTTAGGTGTACTAAATGCATTTTCTTTTTTTTTTTTTAAGATTTTATTTATTTGAGGGGGAGGGGCAGAGAGAGAGGGAGAGAGAGAGAGAGAAAGAGAAAATCCTCAAGCTGACTCCTCACTGAATACAGAGCCCAATGCAAGGCTCTCCCAGAACCCCAAGACCATGACCTAAGCTGAAACCAAGAGTCAGATCCCCAACCAACTGCACCATCCAGGTGTCTCTAAATGCATTTTTCAACTTAACCATATCTTCAACTTATGATGGGCTTACTGAGATGTAACCCCATTGTAAGTCAAGGAAGATCTGTATTAGCAAACTGAATCCAGCCACCTGTACAAAGGATTATATACCATTACCAAACGGACTTTATACTAAAAATGCAAGGTTGGCCTAACATCTGAAATCAATTAATGTAAGGTATTATACTAGATAACAGAATGAAAAGACAAAATTTTTTTGCATAGTACAGTACCCATTTATCATAAGAAATTTCAGTAGACTAGGAACAGAAGGGAATTTTCTCAACCTGATAAATAGCATCTACAAAAACCCATAGCTAATGTCATATGTAATGGTGAAATTGAATGTTCTTTTCCTAAGAAACTCCTGAGAGTTTCTGCTCTTGCTACCTCTATTCAACATTATACTGGAGGTTCTAGTCAGTACAATTAGACAAAAAAATTAGACAAAATAATAAATAAAAGGAGTTCATGCTGGAAAGGAAGAAATAAAACTGTCTAATATGACATGATCCTGTATGTAGAAAATCCACAAAAGACTATTAAAGCTATATTTAGCAAGGTCACAAGGATCTAATACCAACAGTCAAAAATCTATTGTATTTCTATATACTGAGAATGAACAGTCTAAAAATGAAATCAAGAAACACTTTCATTCGAGGCATGTGGCTGGCTCAGTCAGTAGAGCATGTGACTCTTGATCTTGGGGTTGTGAGTTTGAGCCCCATGTTGGACAGAGAAGTTACTTAGAAATAAATTTTTTTTTAATTTATGATAGTCACAGAGAGAGAGAGAGAGAGAGGCAGAGACACAGGCAGAGGGAGAAGCAGGCTCCATGCACCGGGAGCCCGACGTGGGATTCGATCCCGGGTCTCCAGGATCGCGCCCTAGGCCAAAGGCAGGCGCCAAACCGCTGCGCCACCCAGGGATCCCAGAAATAAAATCTTTTAAAAAAAATTCACTCACAGTAGTTTCAAAAAGAATAAAATAGTTGAGTATAAATTTAATAAAGAAGTGTAAGACTTTTATCATGAAAAGTATAAAACATGGCTGAGAGAAACTATAGATCTAAATAATATGGAGAAACCTTACATGTTCATGGTTTGGAAGATTCATTATGGTCAAGATGGCAGTTCTCCCCAAATTGATTTATAATTCAAAACAATTTCTATCTAAACCCCAGCAGGTTTTTTTAAAATAAGAAACTATGAGGTGATCCTAAAATTCACAAGGAAATGCAAAAGAGTTAGAATTTTAAAAGGACTGAGGTTGAAGACTTAGATTATATCATCTCGATCCTTACTATAAATCTGTAGTAATCAGCAATATTGTGCCTAAGGACTGGCATGTGGCCAGTGGAACAAAAGTAAGAATGTAGTAGAAAAAAATCTTACACTGACTGATAATTGATTTTCAGCAAAAGTGCCAAGAAAATTCAACGGGATAGTCTTTTCAACAAATTGTGCTGGGACAATTAGAAATCCACATGCAAAAAAAATTATCTTAAATCCTCACCTTAAATCACACACAAAAAATAGGTTATAGACCCAACATGGGTCATAGACCTAAGTGTGAAAGCTAAAACTGTAGAACTCGCAGAAGAAAAATAGGAGAAAATCTTCATATTTTTGAGTAAGGCAGAGAGTTCTTAGATACGACACCAAAAGCACGATCTGTAAAGGAGAAAATGAGGAATTGACTTCATAAAAATTAAGAATCTCTGGTCTTTGAAAGATACTGTTTAGAGAATGAAAAGACAAGTTCCAGGGGCAGCCCGGGTGGGTGGCTCAGCAGTTCAGCGCTGCCTTCAGCTCAGGGCCTGATCCTGGAGACCCAGGATCAAGTCCCACGTCGGGCTCCCTGCAATGGAGCCTGCTTCTCCCTCTGCCTGTGTCTCTGCCTCTCTCTCTCTCTCTCTCTCTCTCTCTCTCTCTCTCTCATGAATAAATAAAATCTAAAAAAAAAAAAAAAAAGACAAGTTCCAGACTGGGAGAAAATGCTTACAAATCATAAATCTGATAAGGACCAGCTTCCAGAATAAACCAAGAACTCCTACAATTCAGTATTAATAAAACAACCAAATTTTAAAGCGGGCAAACTATTTAAATAAACATTTTGCCTAAGGGTGTGTGTGTATATATATATATATATACTTGGAGCTCATAGGCACGTGAACAGATGTTCAGTTTCATTGGTCACTAGGAAAGCACGGTTAACAATGAGAGATGCTGCTAGAACTATGCTCACTGAAACGACTGTGACTAAGAACATGTTGGCAACCACGTGTTGGCAAGGATGGGAAGAAACTGAAACCCTCCCAGAATGCTAGTGGGAGTATACAGTGGGATGGCCTCTTTGAAAAGCAGTTTGACAATTTCTTAGAAAGTTAAACATGAACTTACTATATGTCCCAGCAGTTCCACGTCTAGGAATCTACCCAAGAGAAATGAAAGCCTATTTCTACACAAAGGAGTGTCACCAGTGTTCATAGGACATACTCAGGAACAGCCCAAATGTCTATTGACTGGTGAATGAATGAAATAACTGTGGTAAATCCACACAATGGACTATTATTCCACAATAAAAAGGATGGAAGTAGTGATACATGCTATGGCACGAATGAGCCTGGGAATCATCATGTGAAGAGAAAGAGGTCAGACCTCTTTCTGACAAAAGGCCACATGTTGTATGTTTCCATTTCTATGAAATATCCAGAAAAGGTACTTTTGTAGAGTCAGAAATCAGATTGCAGGGCTGGGGTTGAGAGTGGGGCTTCACTGCACATGGGCACAAGGGAACCGTTTGGAATGGTGGAAAGATTCTAAAATTGGATTGTCGTGGTGGTTGCCCAGCTCTGTCTCCTGACAATCATCCAATCGTACACTGACGGGAGGTGAATTTTTTGGTATGTAATTTACATCTCAAAGCCTTTTTTAAAGGTTTCTTCACACTTTCTTGTGGGTTTTCTGTGTGTGTGCTTAAGTTTTGAGGGCTCTTCTAAAAGTCCTGATACATAAGGATTGATTTACCTTCTCACATAAGTGCTCTGACTTGTGTATTTAATCTTCTCTACCTCATTAGAATGACAGTTTTGAAAGAAATACCTATGTACCTGCCTGCCTTCGTTTCGGATGCATTCTTCAATGCCTCACTGTGTGTGTCAGTTCCATCCAGATGGCCTTTGAACTCAACCTCAGTTGAAGTTTTACCTTTGATTTCTTATTCTGTTTTTTGTATGTTTTTTCATTTGGGTATAGTTGACATATATTAGTTTCAGGTGTACAAAGAGTCTTATTTCTGAAATGCATGTTGGTTTTAATTGTATGCTTATCTTTTCCTTTGAAACTAGAATATGCTTCTCTGGGATCACTCTATGATTACATTAATAGTAACAGAAGTGAAGAGATGGACATGGATCACATTATGACCTGGGCCACTGATGTAGCCAAAGGTAATAAAGCTTCTTGTATTCTTACAGAATTGGTGGGGCATGTCTTCCCATGGTGACGCGGTGACTTAAGGTATAAGGTTTGTTAGGTGTTCCTTTTTCAGGTTACCGACAGCAAGAATTCTGCAACTGTCTGTTCAGATGTTTTATTTTTATTTTATTTCCAGTATAGTTATGTAACATATGGTGTTACTTTCCTTTCAGGTGTACAATATAGTGATTTCACCCATTTCACCCATCCCCACCCACCTCACTCTCTGGTAGCCATCTGTTCGCTATAGTATTTAGAGTCTGATTTTTCGTTTGTCTTTCTTTGGTTTTGGTTTTTGTATAGATATTCAAAGTCACTATCTTTCCACTCCTGTATTCCTTTCTCTCTCTACTTTATTTCTTTCCCTAAAACTAAGTTCTAACAAAATCAGTTAACTCCAGAGCAGCCATTTCTTGCCACATTTCGTGACTTTGTAATTGACCAGCTTACTTGACACAGTAAATGGAAAGCTCGTAACTCTGTTGTTCCACAAGTCTCCACTTAGACTCAGTATCCAGAAAACGTGATTTATTGTAGGATTAGTTCTACTCATTTTGTGTACATAATAATATGCTAAAAATAGTAACCACGTTAAAAAAAAGTCTTATTTGTCCTGCCATGTGAAAGCAATTCAGATTTTATTTTATATTTAATGTAAACTTGGAAATCACCCTTGGAAATGAAAGATCTTTAATATGCAAAACCCCTAAACAAGGTGCCCAGTTCTTTTTCCCTCATAAATTCCTAATGCTTTCTAAAGCAATTTAAATTCCATTTATTTTTATCTCTCTCTCTTTTTTTTTCCATTTTCCTAACTGAAGGGTTCTGAGGTTTATTTATAACTGTCAAAGTTGCTTTGGAAACAACTTAATCTAAATAATGAACACTGATAGTTACATTTGTATTCTAGCAACCCCTAGAAAGTATGTCCAAATTTTACCGGGGAGATTCACTCCTTTGCATTTTGCTACTCCAATCTCTACAAGCATCTCTTTACAAAGAAATCAAAAAATATTGAGCACTTAGTATGGAGCGTAACTCATGCTTGGCTTTCACTGGGAAGTCATACAGTGATATCCAAAAGTAACAGTCTTTCCTTTGGGGAATTTTCTTGTCAGTTTTAAGTTTCATCAACACCTGCCAAATCCTTCAAATAGGGAAAGTGAAAAAAAATTTTTTTTTTAAATTTCATGCAAAATGCTACTGCTGAACGATACTTCATTACCTTATAAGAATAATAAGCTCTATGTTTGGGATGGTGTACTTAAGGCTTTGGCTGTGTTAATTAACTTAATTGTGTATTCATGCATCAGGCATTTCAAATCAGCCTTGAATTTTCACATTCTTCAAGACGTTTTCATGTAACATCATAGTCACTTCTGCATATGTCAATAGTACACAGGAACCACCTGTTTGCAAGCTGGGTGATGTGTTATTACTGGGAGCCACCTGAAGCATTGTGGAAATACGCTCCCATAAATATAAATGTATATCCAAACAGCCTGTGCCTTAAAGCACTTCACCTTATAGACATTTGCATTTAGGGTGCTCAGCCAATTACACCCATGTTATTATCTAATGACACTTAGGATGGATAGACAGCAAACAAATCAAGTGACATCCGTCACTCAGCCTCCTGCTGTGCTGATGCTCCTGAACCTTCTGTGTCCCCCACCCCCCGCCACCCCATCCCTGCAAACGTGTCCCTCCAGGCCCTTCCCCAGCACAGTCACTGTCTGTTGGCTCCAGATCAGCCCAGTTATTCCCGGGGTTTCTCAAAACCGCTGGCACTGCGTATCAGGACAAAGGAGAGACAGGACAGGGCTAATTAAGTGGCAGGCTGGTAGGCGAGGTAGGGTAGGGCTGGAGGGAATGAGAGTGGACTGGGGGCTGGGGGCCAAACTGCAGCCCAATAAGATCACCTTTTTGTGGCTGGTGAGTTGCTCCTAAAGGCGGGTTCGCATGTGTTTGGCCTCCGGTGAGAAGAGTGATGCAGAGAAGAGACTTATTTATTTATAGTCACAAATCCTACTTAATATTTAAAATGGCCAGTTAAAGGAGGAAGAAATCAGTGCTTGCAGATCGACTTCAACTCTCTCTGGTTAAAAGCCGCGCACAGGACTTGGAGATTAAATAGGGAGCTTCATTGGTGTCGATTCTGTTTCAGATTCAGCCCCGTACCTTTCATGTGACCATGATCGAAGACACTGAAGCAACAAGATGTTGAGAAATCAAAGAATGAATAATTCATTTCAAATAAGAGTTGATTCATGCATTTTGAAGTAGGCATTGCTTAGCATCACTGCTGAGAGAAGCCCTCCTCAAAGCCTCTCTTCTTTCTGGGTAGGAAGGGACTCGGAGGGCAGCCAGGAGGGCAGCCAGCGAGTTCATCTGCAAGCTCCTCCCTGGTGTGTAAGGAGGGCAGTTAAAGCGGGTCAAAGGGATCCAGTCGCAGAGTGGTCCTCACTCATTCCAGATCTCCCCTGAAGGACACCAGTCAGATCTTTTTTTAGGAACCCTGAATCTTAAAACTGATGATTTTTTTTTTAGGTCTCTTCATTATTTGCAATAAAATTAATTCAGAATTATGGATGGCTCTATAAAAACAAATAGGCGTTTCTGTGATTGTGCTTACCACTGTGCTTATGCACACTAAATATTTTAGAAATTATACTAAAAATGTCAAATATTCTATAAATTATACTAAAATGTCTAAAAAACTATGCACGACTAATTTACAGTATTTTTTCTCATAATATCTGCCATAAGGAAGAAAATACCTATACTTAAAGGTTTTTGTACCTGACTGGTGTTTTTGGAAATCTTTACATGTTGGCCAGTGTAGATACTATCTAGCCCTGCCTCTAGTGGTAATTAAACAGATTTTACCTGGATTTGGTTCTTAAAGCAAGAAAGGGGTAACTATGAAATATAGTCCTAAAATCATGAAAAGTTATCCAAGCGGTAGCTATTGAATTTTCAGTGTGTAGAATGCAGAACTTCATGTTAGAAGAATGCTCTTCTGTCTTCTAGTTATATCTTGTTTAAGTGCTTAAATTACTGATAACTTTTCTCAACTTGACTCTCCTCAGTAATATCTTTGTATCACAGGAGTTTAAATTTTTAAATTTTCTTTGTTCCCGCATGACCTTCAATATCTAATCAGAATGGTAGAAAAATAATCATTTTAAAAATTCACCTTTATAAAATTGAAATTTTCTGTACTTAAAGAACCAAAGCCTACTTATTACATGTAACGGATATTCATTAACAAAAGGAGCTTGTTTGGTTGTGGTTCTTATTTCAAAAAAGAGCTTGAGAAGGGAAGGGAAATACTATATTTCAGTAGAAAATGTTCTTTTTCTGTATTCTAAGGGGGTAGACAATACATAAATACAGAAAAAGAGTCAAATAAATACTAAGAGGATCACCGTGAAATGTGTGTCTTTTAAAGTATAATTTTTTAAAAAAGTATAATATTTTATTCAAAATAATGAAATTGTACTTTCTATATATTCAATTTACTGAAGTAACTTGATTTACATTCTGAGTATGTTGGAGAGAATTTTAGAGTGTACTTAAATATAGACTATCCCAAAGATTCATCCTTGTAAAAGGAGTATTTTGTAACTATTGTAAATTTTTCTGAGGGTCCTAGAATCCTTCGCCAACTACAGCTAATGAATCCAACCAGATTTCCCCACCCATCCCCCAGCCCCACTCCCAGGGTCTTACTGGAATGAGTGCGGAGAAAATAAACCAGGCTGCAGCTGGGTAGCTGCAGACATCCAAATGAAAGCTGAAAGCCTCGGTCGGAACTCTGGCTGAACTAGAAGGCAACTGGTAGTGGAATACCTCAGTCATTGGAGCACTTCTTCCAGTTGTAACTGTGCTATTTTTGTGCAGACTCCAGAAAATCAAGGTGTCCTTATTAGGTATTGTAATAGCTTTACCCACAATCAAATTCCAACGTTAAGAGATTAAAGCACATAAATTTTCCTTAGCATATAAATTTTCCTAATGCAGACAGATCCTATCTCTATCTCATCCATCATGTAAGAACAGAACACATGAATTTAGTTCCTGCTATTGAATCCTCTGCAAAAATATGAACGGTAATACTGATGTTTTAAAATAGAAAGTTAATACTAATGCAGTGTTGGAAAATGATATTAAAGCTTTTCTTCCTTCTTGTATGAAAAGGAATGCACTATTTACATATGGAGGCTCCTGTCAAGGTGATTCACAGAGATCTCAAGTCAAGAAATGGTAATGTAGTCCTGTGTTTTTATTTTACCTATTTTACTATGAAATATATACGCCTTGCTATAGAAATAGTTTTTCTAGATCTTTTCATGTTTTTCGTATCTTTTGTACTCTGATGTTTTGACTCATCACTGATACCAGGAAAATCTTTCCAGTGTTAATAAACATCAGAATTATTTATGTTATTTCAAGAAGCTGCACAATATTCCATTGTATCAATAGCATGGAGTGTGGACATCAGGGCCGTTTACATTTTTTTTCTATGATAAAAAATGTTGAGCTCATGGGGATCCCCGGGTGGCTCAGCGGTTTGGCGCCTGCCTTCGGCCCAGGGCGCAATCCTGGATTCCCGGGATCGAGTCCCACGTCGGGCTCCCGACATGAAGCCTGCTTCTCCCTCCTCCTGTGTCTCTGCCTCTCTCTCTCTCTCTATCACAAATAAATAAATAAATATTTGAAAATAAATGTTGAGCTCAATACTTCTCAGTAAAAAATTTTAACATATCCTTAATTCTTTCTCTAGAATCATTTTCTGAAAGAGGTATCACTAGATCAAAGCATGTAGTCATATACTTCTGGTCTCCTATTTTTAGATAGTTCTCTGTACTGCCAGTTTTGAGTTTTGTTCTTGTTACTTCTGAATTATCTGGTGTAAACTTTTTTCATGTCCATCATATTACCTGGAGTAGTGCCCAAAAATGATCAACACATTTCAGAGTTTGGAAAGCAAAGGCTTTCTTTTTGTTCCTTCTCTTTTTCTGTACTCTCTAAAGTTTACTTATGATCCTACATTTTATAATTTGGGACATATGCATTTTAAAATGTCTCACAGGATTAGACGTTATTACCTTGCAGTAAGAAGGTAACTGCGTCTTCTATTAAGTCGCTTGAAAGTTAATGGACTAAGGCAGTGAGTGGGATTATTTAGCTGGCCCACACTAAAGTAAATGTTAGAGCTTGCTAACTTAAAAAAAAAATCTTGCTATCAGTTCATTTACATGCTTTACTTACGTATATGCTTTCTAAGTAAAGAGGAGGAAAACTACTTATTTTTAAAAAATCTTTAGCTCACTGCAGTTAAAATGGGTGTGTCCTAAGAGTGTGATCCTTGCATTGGGTGGTCAGGTAAGTGGAGGAAGAGAAGCAGGGGATCGGCCAGCTGCCCTTGCTGGGACTCCAGGACTGTGAGATCTGTGAGGACGGACAAACGGAAGTCCCTGGCCGCTGCCACTCATCAGTAGTTCAGGTTGGACCACCAGCTCGGCCCTGCCAGTCAGCTGTGGCAGACTGTTCTCTCCACTGTCTACGTCATCACTTAGCCTTTGACTCCTCACAGACTTAAACTTCCTGGAGCTAAACACTTTTAAAAAGGGTTGGCTAACAGGAAATTGTTAGGAAATAATCTAGAATCTAGTAGAAAATATTAGTCTTAGGACTGTAGATTTTTAGTTCATGCTCAGAATTTCAGTCTAGAAAGTTATTTGACTTCTCTTTTTTTTTTTTACTTCTCTTTTTAAAAGCAGTGTTTTATCAGTGTATCCTGAATATCGCATGAGATGAGAATGATTAAGTTACAGATTTATCTATGCTCATTATGAAAACTAGTAACGATGGAGACTATCTGGATTTTCACAAGTTACTTGATAGGAAAACACACATTGAAAAAATAATGACCTTTTAGCGGTTTTTTTCTGAAACGGAATAACAAGACTCTATTTTCCATGTTCTTTGTTTTTATGTTAGTTTTTTTTTAATGGGACACTTGTTTAATCATATTTTTTTAAATAATCTGAATTTTATTTTATTTATTTATTTTTTATTTTTTATGATAGTCACACACACAGAGAGAGAGAGAGGCAGAGACATAGGCAGAGGGAGAAGCAGGCTCCATGCACCAGGAGCCCGACGTGGGATTCAATCCCGGGTCTCCAGGATCGCGCCCTGGGCCAAAGGCAGGCGCCAGACCGCTGCGCCACTCAGGGATCCCTAATCATATTTTTAAAAATTTATTTAAATTCAATTTGCCAACATATAGTATAACACCCATTGCTCATCCCATCAAGTCACTTGTCAATCTTTTAATGAGGAAAAAAAGTAGAGGTATTTTAAAAGGTAACTGATTACGCTATTAACAATATTATATTTTCATTTGAAAAAATTTATAGTTCATGTATAAATCACATTTACCCTTAGGCTATTTCATGCAAAGAGTTATCTTTTCCCCATTTAACAAGGCCATTAGTAACAGCTTAGTAAGAAATGATCAGCTACTGTGTTCAGGATGCTGTGTGCTTACATAAGAAACGCCAGGGGTACCTGGGCCGCTCAGTCAGTTGCTTCCGAATCTCGATTTCTGCTCAGGTCATGATCTCAGGGTTGTGAGATGGAGCCCTGTGTCAGGCTCCACTCTCAGTGCAGAGTCTGCTGGAGATTCTCTCTTTCCCTCTGACCCTCCCCCTGCTCCCTCCCTCTCCCTCCCTCTCTCTAAAATAAATGAATAAAATATTTAATTTTAATAAAAAATGGAAGAAATGCCAAAACAGTTCTTCAAGGTCTATCTTGGACCTCCTCGCCTCTTCTGCTCTTCTTCACCCACTCCCATAAAAGCCCCATCTGCATATTAATACTCCCAAACAGACCTTTGCCTCGGAACTCCGTGTCTGTCTACTGATTGGGAGAGGCCACATAGATATTTGTATGACCCTAAAGTTATCATGTTCACATTGATCTTTTCATTTCCTCTCTGCCCCTAAAAAATGAGTTTTGTATTCCTTTTCTCCATGAGTGGTAATACCAGTTGCCTAAGCCAGAGATGAGATCAAAAGGAACAATTTGATTGCAGAGCTCTTGTTCTAACTGTTGTGCTATATTACCTCTTTATTTGATTTCATCCTTGAGAAATTCTTCATCCTCCTCCCCACCCTCTGTCTCATTATTCAAACCTAGTTGATTTGGCCTCCTAAGTGTTTCTTTTTCTTTCTTTTTTAAAAAGGTTTTAGTCATTTATTTGAGAGAGAGAGTGAGTACAAGCAGGGGAGCAGCAGAGGGAGAGGGAGACAGAGAGGGAGAAGCAGACTCCCCAGCAAGCTAGGAGCCCGATGTGGGGCTCGATCTCAGGACCCTGAGATCATGACCTGAGCTGAAGGCAGACACATAAGTGATTAAGCCCCCCAGGGGCCCCCTCCCTGCCTATTTTTAAGGTTTTATTTATTTTAGAGAGAGAGTGTGTGAGCAGGAGGAGGGGCAGAAGAAGACGGGAAACAGAGTCCCCACTGAGAGTGGAGCCTGACACAGGGCTTGATCCCATGACCCATGAGATCACAACCCATGCAGTTACAGCTGAGCTGAAACCAAGAATCTAGTGCTCAACCAACTGAGCCACCCAGGTGCGCCTGATTTGGCCTCCTAAGTGTTTCTTGATTCGGTCCACTTCTCTCCTGTTCTGTGCCACAGCCTTTGTGGGCATCGTTATGTCTCTCTTGGGCTACAGCCACTTGGGTGCATGGTGATCTCCTTGCCTCCAGTTCTGCTCTTCTCTCATATGCTCTCCCCTCTGCACATCTGACCATTTCATTTCTCTGCTTAAAGTTGTTCATTGGACTTCCATTTCTCACAGAGGCTCTTCAGGACCAGGCCCCTGCCTTCCAAAATTGTACGTGTTTCCTTCTGCTCCTGACCTTCTGCAGGGCACTTTTTTCATACCTAAAAAATGCTTTCCTCCTCCAGTGGTCCTCTGTCGGGTTCGTTCCAGTTTGTTCTTCGGGTCTTAGTGTGATCACCATTTCTTCCAGAAAATTCCTGATTCCAAGGCAATCTCTGCAACTCTCATCATAGAATTTATTCCATTTAATTATATATTTTTTAAAAAATTAATGTTAATCCCAGTGTATTCACATACAGTATTATATTAGGTTCAGGTGTTATCCCACTTGGTAAATAGACCTTGGTTTCATTAGACTGTAAGCTCCACAGGAGCATTGATAAGCCAGTGTTGCTCACCTTCCTCTTCCAGAACATAGTACATGGCCTTACCCATAGAGGTGCTCAGCAGATATTTGTTAAGTAAGTGAATATATGAATAAGTGAGTGAATGAATGTTGTCTCTGCCTATTGGAAGATTACTCTTCGATTGGGAGGAAAAAAATATATACCACGAAGTAACAATGCTAGTGACCTCCTTAATATCATGCTGGCAGTCTAGTGGCAGACCCAAGAACAAATTTTGGTTCTCAGGGGTGCCTGGGTGGGTGGCTTAGTCAGTTAAGCATCTGCCTTCGGCTCAGGTCATAATCTCAGGGTCCTAGGATCAAGTTCCACATCAGGCTCCCTGCTCAGCGGGGAGTCTGCTTCTCCCTCTCCTGCCCTTCTCCTCTGCTTGTGCTCTTTTTCTCTCTCTTTTAAATAAATCAATAAAATCTTTTTTAAAAATTTGGGTTTTCTTTTACTACTAACATACGCCATTTTTATTGGACAGTATTACATTTATTTAAACAAATATTTCGAAAGCCTTTGAGTCAGCACTTCATGGAATTCCTTATTGCAAAATCTTCAATGCAGTAAATACTTCAGTTTTACCTTTCATATGCCATATGGAAGATAGAAGCTTATAGGGTTTTTTCAATCTGAGATGACTCAAATAAATTAGATGATTGTCATAATTTTTCTTCTTTTTTTTTTTTTTTAGTTGTTATAGCTGCTGATGGGGTATTGAAGGTAGGACTGCTTCTTTTAATTTTTTTCAAAAGTGGTTGTTAACTTCGGATATACATTTTTGTGACTGATTATTCTATCATAAATCAGTAAGTAGAAGGTTGATCACTTGTTTTTTCCCTTTTCTCAGATATGTGATTTTGGTGCCTCTCGGTTCCATAACCATACAACACACATGTCCTTGGTTGGGACTTTCCCATGGATGGCTCCAGAAGTTATCCAAAGTCTCCCTGTGTCTGAAACTTGTGACACATATTCCTATGGTGTGGTGAGTTCATTTCTCTCTCTCTCTCTCTCCCCCTTTTTTTCTTTTTTTGGTTGTTACTCGAGATCTAAAAAAGCAAACACCCCCAGCAGTGGGACAGCAATTTAACACAGTTTTAAGACAACGGTGCTGGTTCTGGTGGAATGCCTAGAGCAGTGACCACACAGAGAACACTTCCTAATTGCTAGAGTGTTTACTCTGGTCACCTTTATGCATCTGAATTATTTGTCTTATGTTGAGAAGAAACCAACACTACTTCCAAAGAGCAATTAGATGGAACCTAAAATAATGCCGGGCCAGATGCACTCTTGTCTTGTGACAAGTGCTTTCCTGGGCTGGACGTAGGACTGTGGTGTATCTGTGTAACTTAGTGGAAATGTGGGTCATCTGGAATGGGACTTCACTGTAGTAAGCTGCTCAAAACACACCAGTCGGTCTGCCACAGGATTTAAATAACTATAGGAGAATTTTGAATGTTAACTATTAAAATGACTAGAGGGAAACATACTTGGTCTTTAGCCCCTAGCCTTGCCCAAGCCCACGGTAAGTCTTACACAGTAGTGTGATTCGGAAGCATGAATGTAAGGTATCATGTAAAAATCACAGTGGAACAGCACGGATAAGAACAGGAGCTTTAGTGAGGGGGCAGACAGCCAAGCCTTTTCTAAATTATAATACATCTTATGTACATAAAATTAATAAAATAGAGATGAATTTTGTTGGCTACTGAAAAAAGTCATTACAAGAATGAAATATGTGTTTTTGGCAAAAGGCTAGAATTTTAAAGGTTGAAAGACAACAATAGCTTCAGGCTACATATCTCATTTCCCTTAATTCTGGGTATTTCGAGGAATGAAGGCTATAAACTATAGACAGTGATCAAATAAAACCCCATTGAAAGATGGAGAAAAACCCAAGTTCCTGAGGAGACTCGATTGTAAAACTCCTTCCCTAGGTCCTAAGTTCTTCCTTTCTGACCATTCCCACAAATCACCTGCTGGGGAGGTCTGAAAATGGGAGAATGTGTTGCAATTTCAGACTTTCTGTGAGATCCTTTTCTCTTAGGAAGTTATGTTGCTTCATGTTTAAGCAGGAATGCATTTACCGTGGCAGGCACTGTACTCGACACCGGCGTGGGGAGAGTTAAATTGTCCTTTGCCTGCTCATCGGGACCAGTGCCGCCTTCTGTCCTGTGGAACAGGAGCCAGCAAACTCTTTCTGTAAAGGACCAGACAGTGAATCTCTTCTACCCTGAGGCTCACTGATAGTCCCCACTGCGTGCTCTTCTGTTTTGTACAACTCTTCACAGACGTGAAAACCACTGTGCGTTCTGCAGCAGGCCACGGTTCGCAGAGGAAGTTCTGTGGAGCAAGAGGGAGGGGAAGGGAAGCATCAGGGCTGGAGTCGTTCATGGCGAGCCAGCAAGAGCCCCCACTTCTCACTCTCACTAGCCTGTGCATGTAGCTGCACACACATAGATGCAGGCAGTTAGAGTTTCTAAATTATTTTTGCATATGAACTAGAAGACTCTCGAGGCTCACCTTAGCACTGCCCCCCAACCTCTCGTATTGTGCTTTTACTTTGAAAATTCTCCCCAAACCTTGGACTCTCCCTGTCCCAGAAATGTTTGATCTGAAAGACAACTATGAGTTCCAAATAGAGTGAACTTTTGGTTTCAGTATTATCTCATTTATGAAAACAGACCTCACACTGCCTCCTTCCAAAACCTTACAGTTAGCAGGGGGTTTTGGGTGCAGTGCACCCACGGGGTTTCCTGAGCTGAAGTAGATCTCGGTCTGGTAACCAAGGACCGATGTCTTTTCACATGCAAACTGTCCAAGAGATTAGGGACTTCCCTGTGCGGCGCCTAGGATTTTTTCCTCTATCTTTTTAAATCCCTTTCGCTCATTCCTCATCAACCCCCTCATGATCAACATACTTTGAATCAACTTTTCCGAGACTGCAAATGGTGTTTACTTTGTTAAAAAGCTCTTCCTTCGAGTGATGGTGCACTGCTTCTTAGTAGATGGGCTCGAACATCTCTCTCGGTGAACGAGGTTTCCTGTCTACCTGTTTGCCAAGGTAACCCTTCCCTTGTTCCGGTCCAAGGGATTTAACAAATGCTTAAATCATTCTAGCAAGTAATTTCACTTACCGTAGCAAACTTGATAGCCAATCGCTGAACGTTTCCAGTGTCATTCTGTATTGACACACCAGATGCTGCAGCTCAGAACCTGTCCGCCCCAGTCACATGCTTCTGAATATCAACTCTGTGTTCATGTTAGAGTCTTCTTTTGATGGGCGGAAACAAAGAATGCCATTACAGTGAATCTATTTCTTTGAAAACAGTATCTTAGAGAGGTTTACTTGGAATTCTGGTTAGGCTCCACCCATAGCTAGATCAACAGAGTTCCACACCGAAGGTTGTACATAAACTAATTTAATTACAAGTGAGAATTCAAGATTTTGTTGAATTCTGACCTCTTCCCATTATGTTCTAGATAAACACCATTTAATCAAAGAAATATGTACCAGGCATGCTTTCCAGAGCTTTTTGTTTAAATAAACATACATTTTTTAAAAATGAAGAAGGCATTGCATGGTCAGAGTAGGTATTACCTAAAAGAGCAGGAGAGAATGGTTACTAAGGTAGGGGCATGTTAGTTTTAGAACTTTGTAGTCCATAGGCTGAAAATGATAGCTATCTAGGAAAGCGATGTGGTTATTTAGGATTTTTTATGTCCTTTCAGAAATAGATAAGTAGCCAGGACCATTTGTCAGTAAAGTGTCTCTGCACAAAACATCCCATTGTTCCCTGAAAGTCTGTCCTATTCAATGAGCCTCCACACATGTACACACTTAATAGTTGCATACAGATGAATAAGACTGTAACGGAGAGTTGTCCTTTTTTGAAACCCACCTCAAAAAAAATAAAAACTAACATATTTTTGCTTTTCATTTTTGCTTTCATTTTTCTGTTTTTTCAGACTTGCTCTAATATTACTTAAGTCCCTAGTAACCCATAGCTTGATAAATCTGTATCGCTTCTTAACACATAGCAAGACTATCCAGCCTGGGACAGCCTTAAAATAAATGTGCTGCAAATGCCAGAAGTGGATCTTGTGATCCTTGCTTCTAAGCTGCTAAACTTTGCCAGACAGGCAATTGTTTCTCTCCCCATATTACAAGAAAGGAGCTTGTGCTACCCCCTTATGATGATCTCCCTTGAAGGATAGAACCAGAGGAGTGTTTAGTATGTTATCCACAAAAAAAGGAAAGCAAAAATCATTGAAAGAATAAGCCGTCTGAGAACACGAGGCCTAGCCACTCTTTAAAAAACAAAGCAATCCTAATGACAATGCAGAAAGGATTACCTTCTCAAGCTTCTGAGCCAGAACCACTATTTGAAAGTAGAGTGGCTTAAGAGCGAGCATCAGTGCGTCACTTGTCTGTGAGCCCTGTTCCAGAACAAGCCCAGCTCAGGTAATGGCCTGCCATTGTTTGTAAAAGAAAGGGCAGGAAAAGTACACAGCCTTGTCCAAGTTTCTCTGCAAACTGAAAATAGAAATTGTTCCTTGTGAGCACAGTTGAATCGTGAACACGTCTCAAGATAGAATGAGTTGGAAAGTATTTTTAAGGGGAAAGATCACAATAATGTTTGGCCTGCATCCCCATCACTGATATTTTCAGGCATAGTTTGATATATTTTTAGACCTCCAAATGACTTCCTCCACAAAGGACTTTTTTGTGCCGAACGTCACCGGGTTTAGTGCAGAAGCAGCTGCTGTCCAGTCTCACCCCATTTACTCTTTGATACGTGCCTCCACCTGGTGAATCAGTAACAGGGAACGTGGGCATGTGCCGCTGCTGGATGTGAGCTGTAGAGTCACTTAGGGCCCGCAGCGCAGCGGCCTCGGGGCCATGTCTACACCCGCAGATGGCCCCGTGGCTGTAGTAGCTCTTCCGGGAAACACTGGGGGATTGGAATGAAACTATTTTTCCAGGGTCAGAACTCTTGGAGAAATAGAACTTGGACTTGAGTTGATGTTGGATGTCTTCCAACTGAATATTTTGGAACAAAGAATGACATAAATCTTCTTTGTGTGTCACTTCCCAAGCTCTTGGTTTTGCATTTGGCCTCAACAAACCCAGTTGGCCGCCGTGTGTGCGCCTGTGCAGGCCGGGTCAGAAGGCAGGGGGCACGAGGCCACCTACCTGGACACCTTTCCATCTATTAGAGGCTGATTCACTGTGCCCTTTCTCCTCAGGAGGGCCAAAGCCACCAGTTTGCTTGCTCTATGTGTCCTTTCCCTCCCCAGCCTCGGCACCAGGGGAGTGGGAATTGCACATTTCCTGCCCAGGCCTCGGGCTGCTCCATCTCCCCATCTCCCCATTCCCCCGTCTCCCCGTCTCCCCGTCTCCCCATCTCCCGGTGCAAGTGGGGCCTGGGGGATGCATACCTGTCTGGCCCTCACGCTGCCTTTACTGACAGTGGCTGCTACAGGCGGCCCCTTCTGGGTTGCCCCTTACCTTTTCCTAATCACTTCTGGGACTCAGATAAAATTATTCAGTAGCTCTTCTAAAGAAGTACCTTACACACTTGATTAAAAGCCCAAAGAGGCTTCAGTGAATTTTTTTTTTCCTCCTGCTTGAGCAGCATCTGCCAATTTCCCTGATTTTCCTGCTAATTATCTTCCTATTAGCCAGAGTTCATTTCACATGTTGAGTCAAATATGACTGAGCACTGGCTGAGGAAACAGCGGATACAGTTAAAGGTTTGTAGGACCTGCCTGAAGAGAGTGCATGTTCTCAATCTACATTCTTCTTTAGAAACAGTTGTTTTTTTGTTTTTAGAATAAGAGCAATCGAAATCAAAACCGTTGCATTCATTTGTTTTTCATCTCTGCTCTGGCTCCCCGCCCTGAAATGTGGCATGTCACATTCTCTCTCACAAGGCAGCCTCCCTTTTCTCGAGTTACATCTGGCTAAGAGCTTGACTGTTAGGGAAGGTAGCAACTCATATTCTAGCTCTGCCACTTGATAATGGAGTGTCTTTGGGCAAGTTTATTTCACTTTCTTAGGCCTTAGTTTCCTCATCTATAAAGTGAGGGTAATATCTGTTTGTGGGGGGGGATATTAATCATGGTAACATGTGTAAAGAGTTTAATAAGGCATCTGGAACATAATCACTCGGCAAATGAGTGGTTATTACGATTATTGACAAAATTGTAATTGTTGTCACACTTCACAAAATATTGGTAGACTCCAATTTTGATGCCCATTTGTATAAATAGGGAAAATTAACTGAATGTAAAAAAGTCACCATTACTTAGTATTTTAAATGAAACCCAAATCCTTGGCTGTTTTCAGCATTCCTAGAATCAGTTTGCATTCTTTGGGCATTTCAGTGCAGATTTATTAATCATACTGATCTCAAGGATCGCAGAGAGATGAGCACACTCGTAAGTTTCACATGCGCACGCACACACACCCGTAGCCTATGTACATGATATTAAGCATTTATTACATTTTAGGATTTTAGGATATATATTAAATTATATTATAGGTGGAAGAAATGACTCCCTTAGACCAACTCATTTTGAGAGAGTTTCTCCAAAACACAAAATTTAAATGTTACAGTTTTGCAAGTACCTACCATTATGAGATGAATGGTTTAGACAGTGATTTGGATTTAGGGCTCAATATTTTTTATCAGACCATTACTGAACCTTTAAAAATACGGTTGAATTCCCAGTTATTATCTTACAGAGAAATTTATTGGTGATTCAAGGTAGAAAGAGTTTGACTAAGAAAATATAAAACCTAATTTGTAGGAATCTGTGAGAATTCTAGTAACTTACAAGATAAATTATGTAGGCCCATTGGTTTCATAAGTCTGGCTCTAAATGTCCTGATTTCTAAACTTTGTAAAAATGAGCAAAAAAAATGTATGTATGCGTGTGTGTGTGTGTTGTATACATATATAAAATGTGTGTGTGTGATTTAATATTTGGAAGAAGTCCTGTGCATGAATATATATGTTTTGTCCAAGTTTCTACAGGTGGGGTTGGTTTCGTCTGGTAATTGGATACAGTTAAATGTTAGATAAAGTTTCAGTAATATACCAAAAATATAAAGTACAAGAATAAAAATTCCATTTTCTTTTTGTTCCAGGTTCTCTGGGAGATGCTAACAAGGGAGGTCCCCTTTAAAGGTTTGGAAGGATTACAAGTAGCTTGGCTTGTAGTGGAAAAAAACGAGGTAAGACTACGATTCTCCATTCAGGTACATAGATCAGAAAACAGTATTGGGGTTTTGCAAAAGACTTTTTCATCTTCTTCAAATTGAAAGTAAGTTCACGCTTATGGAAAGATTAGCAGTAGGAGCTAACACAAAGGGTCAAAGTGATGTTATTCCTCATGAATGGACCCTTTACATCTAATTGTTGCAGCTTCACGTCGTGATGCTGTAGATCAAAAATTGTACAAGTACTGTACTAGTTTCTCAGTCTCAATTGTAAAACCTAGGGGTTTGTTCTTAGTGATGAAAGAAGCCATTGCGTCCAAGGTAGGGGAACAGTTTAACTCCATCTCCTGCGTTTAGGACATCTTTTTTACTGGCCGGGAGTTGATATATCTGTAAGAGACCTTCAGCTACTTCAACTTACCTCTCCCAGCAGGAGTCACTATAGTACAAGAAACTGTCGCTTAGATGAGAATTTCAAAAATAAAAGAAGAAAAAATAGTTTCAAAAAAGGGAAAAATTACAGTTTTGCCACCTACGTTGAACACTACATTGAAGATGAGCTCCTCACTGGAATTGGCGAGGCAGTGGCATAACTGTTCCCTTCTTCATGCAGAGCCTTTCCATTTCAAAAGAACTTCAGTGGCGTAAACACCGTTTGTGCTGTGTCCCCAGCCTCGCTTTTCTTCTTCCCACAAATTGAGGCTTTCAGTTAGTTGGACCTATGAGCCTACATCAGAGAACGTGGTACATTCATATCAAAGAGAGCAACTACATTTTGAAAGGTTTAAAATTGTGACTGAAATGCACAGGCATGGAAATCCTCAGCATAAGGCTGAAGCATCCAGTATCAAGGTACTATGAGAACTTAGATCCAGTAATGGAAGCATGCGGTTGTCTTTGCAATGCAAAACAACCTTAGTTCACAAAGCTTCATTTCCAGATCTTATCTGTGCCCTCCTCAAAAGGTAAGAGTGCAACCTCAGGATGAAATAATTTGCAAAAAGGTGAATACATGGAGATATGCCCTTTTTAAGGCTATAAAAGAATTAGATTGATCTGCTCCCCATGAGAGTGCAGGAACAGACTAGATTAACCAAACAGCTGCTATTGACGAGGAGAAACCAAGTTTCCATAGTTTAGATCATATAACCCAGCTACCTTATTAATTTGTCCTCCTGAGCTCTTGAGAACAGATGAAATGTTCATGATAGCTGAACTTGATGGGAGAGAGCTGCCAATTTAAGAAAAAGGAAAAGGAGTTATATTCAAGAATGTGTCCTGCTCAGTGTTTCACAGGAGCTGTTCTGTTTTAATTAAATGTCCTGGTTATTCCTGGTGTGCTATTAAATCAGACCCTCATACACAGGATAACTGATAGGTTCATGATACGAGAACTCACTTGCTTCTGTTCTGTTTCTTTTGCAAGTGAGATGATTAGATGTTTGGTCCTGGATATACAAAAATGAGAGTGAAGAAAATTGACCTCATGTTGACTTTGGAGCGGAACACTCAATGTAACTTTTCCCCCTCTGCGTTGTTCCAAGGTGAACTAGAAAAAAGTTTTTTAAAAGCTAACTGGACCCTCCGGATATGTGTAACAGGAAACAGTATTTTACAATATTTCATTTAAAGGATGGCAGAAGAGGTGTGCATCTAAAGCACTTTCAAAACATTGGAATATCCATCAAGGGTGATTAAAGCTGATAAAAAAAAATTAATTTAGACGCTGTCTTTGGATAGCTGGCTTGAGGGCTACGAATCACCCATAAATAACCTTTAGAACCTCAACATATACAGGAGGAGGGTGTCAGTCACCCCCCTTTCCCTCAGGGATTCCCTAGGGTAGAATTCATCCATGAATGAATTCATGGGGTGAAACATCCATGTTTCATCCATGGGGTGACCTGATGATCAGTTAATACCTGATGGAGACAATTCAGATACCTCCCATTCTGTACACAGAATAGCAAGTTCAGAGAACCCCCCCCACAAGGTGAAAAAAGTTTTCTCAGCTTTCTACTAAACTTAAGGAAAATTGGGTATTGCGAGGCTACTTACTTATCTTCTCTCTGCATATCTGTCAAAAATATGGAAATGAAGTTTAAGTGTACTTTTCACTGTCATCATTCAAAAAGGAGTCTTCATTTCATCTTATGAACGTAGACACTTATTCCCAAAACAAGTTCTGTTGACATAACATTAAAATAATTGCCACGTCTCAACTACACAGAACAAACTTGAGGGGGTTGCTGGAGGGGAGGTGGGCGGGGGATGGGTTAAATGGGTGATGGGTATTAAGGAGGGCACTTGTGATGAGCACTGGGTGTTGCACTTAAGTGGTGAATCACTAAATTCTACACCTAAAACTAATATTATACTGTATGTTAACTGGAATTTAAAAACTTGAAAACATTGCCAAGGATTTATTTCATTTCATGATAAAATTGAGACTTTGACTTAAAATAATTTACAAAATCCTTTCAACTTCTAATTATTTCATTTATTTTTACTTTGGAATAATTTGGGTTCTTGAGTTGAAAAGAGCAACCTGTATTTTTTTTTAACAGGCCTCATTTAAATAAAGAATGATGTGTTTAACTTAGGGAGACATTTTAAATGTAAGCCAGTCACCCTAGAATGGACTTAAAGCCAAATATTAGAGTTACCTTTTCTTTTTAACTTTTTGTTTTGAAATACTTATAGACGCATAGGAAGCTTCAAAAATATTAGGAGAGATTCTGTGTATCCTTCATCCAGCTTCCCCCATTGATGAGATACAGGTATAGGCCAATACCAAAATCAGAAAGTTGACATTGATACATTACTCTTAACTAGACTCTAGACCTTATTCGGTTTCACCATTTAGGACTGTTTTTGGGTCTGTAGGGAGATCAGTACTTTCTAAAAATATCTGAAAGTGTTTGCTTCTAAATGCCTAATAATGAAGTAAGACCTTCAGACAATATTTTTTTAAAATATTCTTTTAAACTAGATACATAAAGCACAGTTAAAACAAAGACTAGCCCTTACAGAAGTCATGAAATTAGGAGAGTATTGCTAATAAATTTTGTAATTTCTATAAAACTCAGTGGTCATTCAAAATATTCTAGCAACAGAATTTCTATCTTTACAAGTATTTAGATTCTCATATAAAATGTTCTCTATGTAGCAAAAGAAAAACTTTTTTTTTTCTAAGAGAGAATGCACATGTACACAGGTGTGCAAGTAGGGGGAGGGCCAGAGGTGGGGAGAGAATCCTAAGCAGCATGGAACCTGACGTGGGGCTGTATCTCACGACCCTGAGATCATGACCTGAGCTGAAATCAATAGTCGGTCACCTAACAACTGAGCCACCCAGGCATCCAAAATTTTTCGTAATAGAAATCTTCAAAAAACTTAATCCATTGTTGACTATGCTTTGGAAAAATAAATACTCGACAAAAGATAATTTCTTGTGTCTTATGTAGAAGATGGAAGGTGCAGAAAAAGAATATGATCTTTAAAAAAATGTCATGCCTAATTTAATAGTTGGGAAACATTTTCATTTTAAATTTGAAACTTTTAAAATATTTAAGTTTTAAGTAGTGTGGCTAATCTGTTGCTAAAATCTGGTTATTTTAAGATGTTTTCATGCATTAGAAATGCCCACAGTTCAGTAATCAGGACTTAAATACTTTGGATTCTCTTTTAAGGTACTTTTTAATGTACTGAAATAAATCCTTACATTAGAGTCTGAGTCTAGATTTAACTGATATTTGAGTATATCAGATAATTTAAGATCATTATGTCATCTTTCATAATGTCTCAGATGCAGTAAGCTAAGTTTTTCAATAAGAAAAAAGATTAACACCCATATTCATCTAGGTCACATTTCAGTTCTCAGAAAAATGTGAAAAAGTTATATTGAAAATATTATCTTTTATGAGAAATTACTTTGCCATGGAGTGCATTCAGCTGAATAATTGCAATCACTTTGTTTTTCTTAGTTACCACTCCCAACCAACCATCTTACATAAATATTTTTAAAAAGCAAACACCTGATTTTCCTTTTGATCTTCATCAAAAGGCTTCCAGTTCACATTACAGTAAAACGAGTACAGCTTACCCAATCTCCTCTATTTTATGTAATCAGCATAGCCTTCAACTTGGCGAGGGTTGTTCTGTTTAAAACTTTCAGGTTTTATTTATTTTGGTTTATTTTGATTTTAAGGTTATCTGTAATTCTAAACATAGATCATCTGTTTTCTTGCCAGGGCAACTCTTTTTTCTGGTTTTATACGTAGCCTACCCCAAATCCAATTAAGTTCAGTTTAAGTTTTTTATTTGCCAAACTTGTTTGCTAAACAAAACTGCAGAATAAATCTTGGTACAGTGCAGTGATTTTCAGCTTTGTCACATGCAGGCCTCTTGCCATAACGGCTCTGTTCGTGCTCCCTCTCCTCCCCTGAAATGAAATTCAGATGTAGGACCACAGACCCACACACATTGTATTTTAAAGGCAACATAATGCTCTAACTGTAATATAAGGTAGATATGGATGAAATCTGTATTACAGTGTATAAATGTGCAGGCGTGACCACAGTAGAGGGGGGGAATGGAAATTTTAGGCCCTTGTCCCCATGGATAAATAGGATTCGACAGCTACAAATGCAGGCTAGAGCTGAACTGTGTCAAAGATTGAAGCAGCAGCATGAGCAATGCTGTTGTAGGTGACATTTTCCAAAAATCTTGGTAAGGTTATGAATAATACAAAGATCAATCTGCCCTTGATTTATTTTATTTGGTAGTTGCATTCTCAGTTCATTTCATTTTAAGTGTGCTCAAAATATAAATTATTATAAATCAGAGAGTCTAGAGCCAGAAAATGATACACCTCGTTGTTTGATTGCACATGGGGCATTAAGTTTGGTGGAGTGCAAGGGAGTACTCAGGGATTTACAACATAGTAAAGGGTGTCTAGCATTCTTCACTTGCTCCAGGTACAACTCTCCAGCCTTTAAAACAAACAAAAATGCCTCCATAGATCTCTAAAGAGCCTCCAGTGGCATGACAAGTTCTAGAGAACCACTTCTGTAAAATGCTGGAATGGGACTGATGCTCACAGTATAATCTTTGTTGTATCCAGCCCTTGCGCTTCGCCATGAGTCATCCATTCAGAATGTCTTACTGGCCATTGAGAAAAGGCCCGCTTCTCTCAAATGATCTCTGTGATGGTCTGTCCTGAAGATGTTTTCAGAGGTGTACACCTACTGCCAAAGCTGAACTGGTTGCCTACTTGCCTCGCCTGCTTGCGTATTTCATACCCGCATATGCAAGAACAGTAATAGATTTGTGGGTTTAGAGTTCTTATTTCTGTTCCACCGGCCCTTCTCCTACTATAGTTTTTTTTTTTTTTTCAAAAAAAAATTTGTAATGTAGTTTCTCTTAGACTTGAGTCTATGTTTCGTTGCATTTGTTGTGCTGAACCTGACTTCTCCATCCACTGGGATGCTTTTTTGGAAGAACAGTATTAAAAGTGTCTTTAGAGATTAGATATGATGAATCTAAACATAAATTCTCACCTGCCATATATCAATTGATGGAAGCTTTAAATTTAATGACATGTTTGTGCTCTTAAAGTAACTCTTATGAACTTGCAGTGAATATCTACTTACCTTAATGAGTAAATCCTTCTGTTTTTCCTTTCTCTGTGGTAGAGATTAACCATTCCAAGCAGCTGCCCCAGAAGTTTTGCTGAGCTGTTACGTCAGTGTTGGGAAGCTGATGCCAAGGTATATAAGTAAAAATATTTTTTTTTCTTTGGTTGTTCAGAATTCTGAAATTTCACTTGTTTGTTTGGCTTTGAATTTTTAAAACTTGGAGTAATAAGAATCGTTACAAAGCAAAGCCAGATTGCTGTTCTCCTGAGTCCCAGATGGGACTCTTAAGGCTTTCTGTTGATAGCTGCTTATCCTGATCCTTAGAAATTCATTACTGGCTGTTCTTACAGCACTCTGGCATTCTTGATTCAATAGAAAGAATTGCATTCCTTTGTTTTTAATCTTTAATAAGAACTACTGCACAAAATGGCCCACACACAGTGCTTATTATATGCCAGGAACTGTCCCAAGCACTTTATGTTAGCTCATAACATAACATTAGCTTATTTATTCCTCAGAAGATCTCCATGACATAGGTTGTATTATTGCACTGATTTTACAGGTGAAGAGTCAAGGCACACAGAAGTTAAGTAATGCTCAAGGCCACAGCTAGTTCATGGTGAGACTGGAGAATAAACTCAAGCAGTCTGAACCCAACTCCAGGCAAAAGTAGCACTTCTAGAGAAACTTAATATGTACTCCTTGTCCAGATTCATGTTTTTAAGCTATCACAATAGAGTTGGAGACATTCCAAAATTTAGACTTTCATGTGGTTATCACATTTGAGCATGACGGCCCATTTCCTTTCCCTGCAAAGATCATTTTAAAAGACTCACATACATACGGAAATATTTATAGATAAAATGATAGGCGAGTCTTGGATTTGCTTCAAAATAAAATGAAAGGAAATAGATGATGGTATAGATTAAACAAGATTGGCCATGATAATTTTTGAAGCAGTGATAGGTATATGGAGGATCATTACATTGTTCTCTCTACATTAGTGTATATTTGAAATTTTTCATGATAATAAGTTAGAAAGTAAAAAAGGTTCGTCCACAGATTAAACGCTGAAAGGAGACAGACTCAAGAAAGCAACTGTAATTTTATAGTTCAAACTTGTTCATGTTTTCATGGAAATAGATATATTGCAAACTGGTTTTTAAAATAGAGATCTAAAAACAAAGGCTTAAGGATGGAATTTCTTCCTTAATTTAAACCCAGTTCCAATCTGGCCTCCAGAAAGGATGCATAAGCCACCGGTGAGTTCTGAGTCCTCACCATGCAGGATCACACATGTTACCTAGCCCATGATTCCGCACCACTAAGTGAGAACAGCTGAACACCAAGTACAGTAGTTTGTACAGTAGTGCAGCAAAGAAGAGCAGCAAGAGCCACGGATCTGTGAGGCCTCTCCACCCCAGTGCCTTGTCTCAGAGGCATGTTGTGGGGGCCTCCCGGACTTGTACCTTGCACCTTTGCCCTGAGAGCCAGCAGCCTTCATCTTTGCTTTCACTCTTGTTCATAAACTACTTTTACCCTTTTGTAAAAGGACAGTCTTCTATTTACTTAGCATTATTTTTTTATTTAAAGAATTTAACATTTTTTAATTGTTAGTATTTTTGTTTAGAATTACTGTTTTTATTAGCATTCCATGACAAAGCTGCATAGGTTTGGCATGGTCTGTCCTGCTTCTGTTTAGGTCCTTTTATTTTAGTGTGTGATTTGCAGAATATGGGGGTTTTATGCATTAAGAGAAATGCCTGCACTTTGCAGCTAAATCCAGCAGAAAATATACGCAGCTATTTGCAGGCTTCCTCTGAAGTATTTATGTTTTTAAAATGCTATTGTACTACCTTTTCCTCACTCTTTCTACCAGTTCTATGTCCACTGTGCCATCTGTAGTCATTTTGGCAGTATTTTTCTGCTCTTTAAATAAAAATTTCACCTGAAATTATTTGCACTGAATTAGATTAACGCAACTAGATCTCTATAATTGCAATTATATTTCAGTATGCAAAGCAGGTTTTGAATTTCTTAATCAGAAACTCTGTATTTCATTAATTAAAATACTAAGGATATATATTTATGGTGCATTAATTAAATAACAGTGTAAACACCTAACACAGGAAGGACATTAGGCCTGGTGCTGATGCTATGAAGTTGGCATGTCTTTAACATAAAGTAGTAAGCTTACCCTTCTTCAGGATGAGTGGAATCTTGTGTTCTCTACCCTGGGGAAGTATAAAGAAAGTCTAAGGTTGATTTTTATTTCCTAAATCCAAGGCATTTTATTCTGATACAATTAATACATCCCCTCAGTATTTAATTATACACCCCAAACTGCAGCCCACACTTCCCGCTCTCTGGCGGCTGTTCTCCAGACGTGCCTTACACACTTTCCTTCCCTAGGCATGCCCTCTTCTCTTCTTTCCTCTCCTGATCACTTTGTTGTCACGCCTTCGCTGACTATTCTGTTTATGCCAGCCCATACTTAGTCCCTCATTTTCCTAAACCACAGTCCAGGCCACTACCTTACCTTGTGCAGTTGTATTTTTTAAGTATCTCTTCTTCCTAAATGGACCGCAGTCTCTGAGGAACAGAACTGCCTTTAGCACCTCACATACACTTAGTAAGTAGAGACCCATGTGTGGACTAAAATAGCCAGACCAAGGCACATTTTAGTTCTCCAGCTCTAAGTATGTAGCAGTTCAGCCACAAATGGATGCCACTCCTGTGCATACAGAGAGCTATAATGGGCTAAAAATTTATTTCTCTTTTCCAGCCCTTCTGCTTTAAAGACAGATTAAAATACTCAGCTCACCTGAGAAAAAAATGTTCTTTTGCATTGAGGAGGAGGAAGGGAATACAAGAGAAAGCTGGTGTTGGGTAAATGTCAAATCATGCCAATAGCTTACATCAGGTGCTCAAAATATTTTATCAAAGAGAAGAAGGAAGTAAAAATGGGGATTATTTCCAGTTCTAAAATGGCGTTTCTAAATAGGAAAAATAAATAAATAAAGCCCTGAGTTTGATAGGAAGTAACATCTTACCCTCACGTGATAAAACAGATTGAAGGGTTTAAGAGCCTTGCCCCTGATTCAGAAATTTGCTTCCTGTGTGATACTGAGAAATCCATAGTTTTCTGAGATGGATTTTCCTTATCTATAAATTGAAGATGGCAAATAATGTATGTAGATGCTTAATAAATGGTCCCAGTTAAATTTTTTTTTAATGTGAGCAAAACACATAATACTAAAAGGAACCTAAGCCCAGACCAGACAATGTTGGATTCTGCAACCAGAGTATTCATAAAATACCATCACCTGGGACACCCGGGTGGCTCAGTGGTTGAGCATCTGCCTTTGGCTCAGGTCATGATCCCGGGGTCCTGGGATCGAGTCCCACATCCAGCACCCCATGGGGAGCCTGCTTCTCCCTCTGCCTGTCTCTCTGCCTCTCTTCTCTGTGTCTCTCATGAATAAATAAATAAAGTCTTTAAAAAAAATACCATCACTACAAAATGCTCCATTGTTGTTTTTTAAATGTTTGCTTTGATCATTTACATCTGAGAGTGTATTCTATGTATAAAACTAAGGTTTTCCTGGGAATACTTGTCACCTAATTTCAAGAGTTTTACTTTATTTCAAGAATGATTAAATGTAGGGAAAACTATTCTTTAAAAATTCAATAGCCTCTCCTGCTGCTTTTCCATGCAAAATGGAAATCCTATATTTATTATATAATTAATTCCTGTGCAAACAATTAAAACATTTTTCCTTTTACACCTTGACACAGAGTAGGAGGAATTAAAATAGAAATAAAGTTAAAAGAAGACAAAATATTTTTCAAATTTCGTACTTCAGGCATTTTCTTCTTTGCTGATTAGAAGGCTTAATGTAGATCCGTGACATTTAGCTACTTATACCCTCTTCTTAAAACACACACACACAGGCACACATTTCCTTAAAAGTGTACAATAAAGGCACAACTCAGAATAAATATCCCAGTTTTATATTCCTGAGAAATGGAAAAATTGTCCCTCTTAATGTAGGAAGCACTCAAGTCTTGAGAGCAAGCCACCTCAACATTGTTCCTTCTTGTTTTGTGCTCCTAAATTAAAATGCATGTTTTAATTGCTGCAACTGTAATTTGCTCAGAAATGGTATAATTATGAGGCATGATGAAGAGAGAATGTGCATCATCCTTTTATTATCTTTCTTCCATTTTTGTTTTAACCTTTTGTTTCAGTCTTGGCTAGAGTCTAAAGAAACAGACAAGTACAGCTACTGGTAGCCAAAGAAATCCACCTAACCACTGCTTTTTCAATTTCTAGTAAACAGTACCTTAGTTTCCTAGCTCCAAAACTAGTTATGATGTGGAATAAACACTGAGGACAGTGAGTCATAATGGCTTGAAAACTGGGGGATTTTTCTCTGAGCAAGTGGTTGAGGAAATTTTATTCTAACAAATTAACTAGGGTTTCCCCCAACATTTTAATATAAGAATTTGAAACATACAGAAAAGTTGAATTTTACAGTGAACACCGGTGTACCTACCACCCACATTCTACCATTAACTTTTACTAAACTTGCTGTATCCCCTAGATTTTTAAAGCACCTGCCTTTTCCCTCTTAGGAATCCTTAATCATACCCAAAAGAGAATTAGTATTTTCCTTACCTGGAGAAAACCTGTAATTATTCTAACCTTAGGCCACACGATAGAAAAATGACATCTGCGTCTATTCTTTTTTTTTTTTAAGATTTTTATTTATTTATTCAGAGAGAGAGAGGCAGAGACACAGGCAGAGGGAGAAACAGGCTCCATGCAGGGAGCCTGACGCAGGACTCCATCCCTAGTCTCCAGGATCAGGCCCTGGGCTGCAGGTGGTGCTAAACCTCTGTGCCACTGGGGCTGCCCATCTGTGTCTATTCTTATAATTTATTGAAAATAAGGAATATGGTCCACTTCCCCCTGAGTGGTCTGACAGTTGTAAAGGAACTCAGTCAGGATGTTGCATGATAGTTATTTTGTTGTGGTACATCGAGCTTATTACTGTGCTTGTGGATTTTCTCTTAAAGACCTACTTTGTTAAATCCCAACAACTGATTATTTTCTCTTCTTCAGAAACGGCCATCTTTTAAGCAAATCATTTCAATTCTGGAGTCCATGTCAAATGACACTAACCTTCCCGACCAGTGTAACTCATTCCTGCACAACAAGGCAGAGTGGAGGTAGGTAGTAAGCCTTGTACCTTGTACCGAGTCATGGCCTCTGGCTTTAAAAGACGGTGACCAGCATCACTGAAGAAGACAATCAGGAAACTAGAGGACAGTCCTGACTTCTAAGCAAAACTTAAGAGGGGTTTTTTTTTTTTTAATGTTAAATTCTTTTTGGAGATCTAATAAGTCCTCCATTTCACATGTAAGCAAAAAAAGCATTCCTCTAAGCTTGTTGCCTTAGCATATGTCTTAAGTATTTGGTAAGAATATTGAAATCATCTCTTTGGAGACAAAAGACGGTTACCAGACATTTCTCAGTACCATACACACTGTGTTAGGAAGCCTTGGCGTCTGTCCAGTGAGGAATAAAAATCCTGTTTGCCTAGGGATTTGCAGAGTACTCTGTCTGTTGATGGAGGGGGTAGGGAGACTATAAAAACACTTTTAAAAGAAAACTTTTGATGTTATAAATCCTATTAAATTTTGTCAAGTGTAAAACAAACTTAGTAATGAGAGAATTGTATTGTGTGAGGGGAAGAAGCAAGCCTGGGATGAGACAGTTGGACCAGGTCACGTGCTGCAAGAATATAAATAGCATGTTTGGGAGCTGACATTATTCCTCCCTGACTCAGCAGAGATTTAAGTAACTTATCTCGGCTCCGGATAGCCAAGGCGGTAATGCGACGCCTTACGCCACCTGCTGATGCCCAGTGCCTACTGCAGGCACTCTGAAAATGATGGAGTTGTTTACTCCTGTTAACTAGACATTTCCTTGCCTTTCTTTTTGATTGGGCTTTACAATAACCTTCTTTATTTGTATGCTTTTGAAATCTCTCTCCAGGGCCAGTGAGTTAAATTAATTTTTATTTAGGAAAACAAAAGTCACAGTGTCTGCCTGAGTGTAGGTATGAGGGGTTTTGTTCTGGACTTCAATAATTAACAAAACATGTAATAATGTTGTTTCCTACCATAAGAGATTGGGTGCAAATCTAATCAGATGAGTCCTCTTTTGAATCCATGTAAGGGACTGCTCTACTACAAAGGCTGTAGCACTTCACGAGACGCATGAGACCCTTTGGCTCTGACCTCGGTGGCCTTACCTTAAGAGCATAGTTCTCCCTCTTAATGTCTGGCTCCTGGTTCCTCAACAGATGCACATTTCTTCCTCATTCAGAGTCCCTGCAAATGCAGTTTCTTCTGTATAAAATTCACCCCTTTCAGCGGCATACCTCCCCTGACACCCTCATCCAGCTTGACTCCTAGTCATCATTCAGACAGCAACTGAAATAACATGTCTTTAAGGACGTGTTTCTGACCCTAGATAGATGAGGTTCCACTTTATGTGCCCTGAGAGCATCTCCTTCATAGCCTCTACTGCCATTGGAATTAATTAATTCTGTAGCTTGTTGTTTGATCTGTGGTTCCCTGGCTGAAATGTAAAAAGGTCAGATAATTTCTTTTGTTCATGACTATACCTTCAGCATCTAGAGTGTGCCTTGAACACAGCAGTTGCTTGATAAAACTAGGGGAAGGAAACACCACGGTGGTAGTAATATTAAAAGACATTACAATATTACACAAGAGAATAGAAATATGTAAACTAATTTGTTGACTATGACAAGTGTGCTTCTTACGTTCACTCACTCACTCATTCATTCATTCATTCATTCAGATATTTCCTGAACCTCTGCTGGGGCAATGTGTTCTTGTATTGTGCTATGGTATTAAGCAGAACAGCCCTAACGCACATGGAGTACCTAATGTTGAACTACTAAATATAAATATGCAAGTAACTATTTATTACTATTTTGATAAGTATTATGACAGAGAAATACTGGGCATCTGAGAGTATACAACCAGGAAATCTCATCTAGTCGGACAAAGTAATAAAGATTTCCTAAGGAGATGCTGTTTGATCTGTTCTCCAAAAGATTAGTGAGATTTTAACATTACTATTGTTACTCTTGAGATACAGTATGAAAAGTATGCCAACAATGTCAGAATATGGGGGAGTTGGTAAGTTTTCTATATAGAAATATAAAACCTCCATATAGCCCAAATCAATACCCATGATGAACTTCCAGGACAAACGCCATACTGCTACAGCTTTTTTCCCCCCTATGTAATAGCTCAACAGTTCTAAAAGTTTTTGGTCTCAGGACTCTCTTATGCTCTAAAAAATTATTGAGGACTACAAAGAGCTTTTGTTTAAATGAATTACATCTGTCAATATTTACCACATTCAAAATGAGAACGGAGAAAAAATTTAAATATGCAGTTATTGATTCATTTAAGAAAATAAATCCTGCCTCTACATTTAGCCTGTGGCATTGGCACATATCATGAAGCCTCTGAAAAAGTCTTCACACTTCCCTCACACTTATGAGGGAATGAGAGTAGAAAAGGCAAATCAAGTCTTAATGTTATTCTGAAAACCAGTTTAAAGCTCTGGAATCCTTTGAAAAGCTCTCATGGGTCCCCAGAGCACACTTTGAAAAATCTGGACACCACTAATAGTAGACAGAATTACTGTCCTTAAGATAACATTTTAATTATAATCTCATTCTAAAGGACATGAAAGGCATTTCACAAAAGGAGAAATCAAATGGCCAATAAACACACGAAAAACAGCCTCATTTACCAATCAAGTAACTGTAAGGGAATAGAATTCATTTATCAGATTGGCAAAAGTTTACATTATGAAAATATCCAGCATTATAAACTTTCTAATATGTTGCTAGTGAAAACACCACCTTTTGGGAGGACACTTTGGCAATACAGATCAGACCCCTCCACCACTCCCGCTTTATTCCTAAGAAAACAGATGGAAAAGTTGTCCAAGAATGTACACCTGCTTATTAGCACAGCATCACTGAGAATTGTACACTAGAAATGGCATAAAGGGCAATTAAGGTTTTTGGGTTTTGGTGCTTGTTAGGTTTTTAAAACTGATGATGTCTCCATATACAGAACAGATGGAGCCATTCTTGATAACACAGATCCGATGGATTAAAAAATAGAGGCTAGGGTCCCTGTGTCGGGTATGTGTACCTACAGAAAAGTATCAAAAGGCCAGTGTTACCATTAGGTAATGAAATTATGAGAGAGTGGTTTCTCTCTGGATAGCTTTATTTTCTACAAACCTGGATAGTTGAAAAATACATTTTAAAGTACTTCATGATGAAAAGGTGAGGGAAATAACATTGGTAATTCATTAATCTATTTTAGTAAAAAGCAAACAGTTGCCTTCCTGGCTTCCTTCTTGGCTCTCTTTCAGGAACTAGTTAATCCTGAGAGCCGGTGGGAAAATACCTATCTTACCTGAACCACTAAACCAGTCTGAGAAGTAGAGCTGTTTTAACTGAACTTGGCGATTGGCTAAAAGCATAGGGGATAAAAATAATAATATTAATCAGAGTAACAATGAACACAGCTATCAGTCATTAGATTCTTACCAGATGCTTGTACTTTGTCTGCATCATCTCTTTTAATCCACATGGCAATCCAGTCTTATATCCCAGATACAAAATCTGAGGCCTGGACAGGTTTGGGTCACCTGTCCAAGATCACACGGAGTAAGACAGAGCCAGTACTAGAACCCACGTGGTCTGGTCCCACAGTCTATGCAGCGCTGTTCCTGGACCTGTGGGCAGTGCCATGCCTTCCACTCATTAGCATGCAGAGTACACTTGATTCCTTTGAGAATATTAGGAGAAATATTACACAACATGATTGTTTTAGGTTATGATCAAGGCAAAACATCCATCCTACTCTGTGCCACACACCAAAAAGAATTAAATGTTTTGTCAGACTGTCTGGTTATTTCTAAGAACAACACATTCTCTTTCCCCTGACTTGTCTGGGGTCTGAAACCATGTGGCTGTGGGGTTGGAAAGCATGTGTAGGAAATCTGTGGAGTTTCTGGTAAATGTTTGTTTTCTGGTAGAGCTTCCTTACAGATAGACCAGATGAAACACCCTGTTTTAGAGAATTAAATGGTTATTCTTAAAATTCTTTATAAAACTAGGTTATTAAAAACCACAGAAACTATGCTTTTCCCTTTGACCTAATAGATGAAAGGAAAGAAATCTGTCAGGGCACATTCTTACCCATCTCTTTAGCTTGTTTCTCCTTTTATTGACTTATTAGCAATAACAGCAGTGAGCATTACAGATTAGGAAGTGTGTCACCCTGTTGGTCATGTCGGCAATTTTCATTCCGCCACGTGACTGTCTACAGACCTGAGCAAGCTGTGTGGTGCGCTGTGACGGCGTGTTCGGATCTGTGCTTCTTGGCCGAATACTTTGCTGGTTGTGTTCCCCCTTAGTGATCAGAATACTCTTGCCTTGTTAAAAACAAAACAAAACAAAATAAAAAAAACAGGTAAAAAAATGTAATCTCTGCAATTTGGATATTAGCACAGATCATTTAACATATAACACTAATATACACGTTACCTGTTTATCGTCTTATATATAATAGGGCTATTTTTACAAACTGACCTTGAAAAGATTATTCCAGTTCACTGCCTGTTTCTGGCATATGGGAAGTTGATACTAGGAGAAGTCAGCCTTAGTTGGATTTGGGTTAAGAGACAAACCCTAGTTTTCATCAACTAAAACAGTTTTTAAAACACTTTTATTTATAGAACGAGAAGGTTATATAGGTACATCAACAGATGCATGTGATGCAAAACAACGCATCAGCAGCATGGGGGACAGCGAGGGGACAGTGAGGGTGGCGGCTGTCGTCGGGCCACCCCGGAGCTTGCGGGGCATCCCTCCTGGCACAGAACCTCCCACGGTCCAGCCAGTGTGGGGCGCCTGGGGGTGAGGCTGAGGAGCTGGGTCCAGGAGGCCTGTTTTACTCAGTGTTTGGTTTTCCGTGTCACAGCTTTCAGCCTGCTTGACTGTTTATGTGCTTTCCCGAAGGGCTCAAAATCATAGTCGGCTCCCAGCACTGAAACGTGGTTTAAATTACAAGTGGAAAAAATAAAAATAAAAGTAAATAAATAAATTACAAGTGAACTGGAAGGTGCTGGCCGGGTACCCTGGCCACATAAGAGCGGCCACGGGCTCAGTTTCCCTGGCAGGGGTGCGGTGTGGCCTGGCGGGAGCCCCTCCCGTCACTGTCCTGTCACCCTCCGTTGCCAGGATGCTCATCCTGCCTGCCTTCGTTACAAAAGTTTAACCTCTAAGCATCTCCACGGTGATTTCCCGCCACTCAATCCTCCACTTGGAAAACAAATGCAAACTTATCTATGAATGGGCAGGATATACCTTTGTCAGAAACACCCAGAAGCATAAAATCTGGATTTTTTATGATAGTCATAATTCTGAAAGATTGCTGATTTAGTGCCTTTCTTTAGGGTCTGTAGTGTGAGTCTACTTATATGGTTCTCTTACTTTCAGATGGCGCCTGTAAAGGGGCTGGAGGCTTGACAGCAGATGCTGCTACTTCCCTGGCCCCGAGGCATCTTTCAGACAACCAGGGAGGGAAAGTGTGGGGCCCAAACCCAGACCCACCTCAGTAGCTGTTCCCTGTCTTGGATGTTGCAGTTAATGCCCGCAGCTCTTTGGTTTTCATTTAGTCCTCATCCACAAGGGCATTGGAATAAGCTGTCCTTTTTTTTTTTTTTTTTTTCCTAATTTTCCCTGGTGATAGAAAGGGAGATGCTGGTTACATAAACCCAGTGACTTGGGTCTGGGGCCCCGGCCAGCCTCATGCAGTGTGTGTACCCCGCCTCCGTCCCTGTGGCACCTGGAAGCAGCCGTGGAAGCAGCCCTCAGAGCCAACCTCCAGCAGTCCCCTGTTTCCGGGCCTCTCAGAAGCCCAAGGAAGGGACTTCGAGCTCTCAGAGCGTAACTGAGACTTACACACTGTCGCAGCCCTGAAGGAAGAAAACAAGCTTATGTTGAACCATGTCCACAGTTCACTTTCTACAAAGGACAGGTTCCTAGAACTGGACAGATTTCAAGTTGGCCAAAGGGACTAAGGAAGGAACTTCCAAAAAAAAAATTATTAGACTCTGAAAGTATCTTAGAGTTCATCTGGCCCACACTTGTCTGATTATAAGTCACCTGGGTCTGTTATTAAATAATGGAAATTCCTAGACCCCACCCAGCCCTACTAAATCATGAGCTCTGAGGAAGGGTCCAAGGAATCTGTGTTGTATTATCTGTCGGTTAACAAGCTTCCTGGTAGTTATTAGGATCAGGCAAGTTGGGGAACCCCGATGTAAGATAATCATCACCCCTTACAGCTGAGGAAATGGGATCAGATTGATGAGCTGAGTGGGGGCACCCAGCGAGGGAAGAACCCAACGTGAATTTACTGGCAATGTGATGTGGATCACCTGACGGGAGTATCATTTTCCCCATCTCTATATATGGGATTAGTACGTGTTTCTTGGGGTTGTCGTGAGGATAAGATGAGATCTTATGTAACAGTGCTTTTTAGACTATAAAGGGCTACTGGAACATCAGCATTCACTAAATAGCTGAACCAGGACACAGCCCCACAGCTCAGGCTCTTCCCCACTGGGCCCTCAATGTTGCAGTAAGGAAATATTTTGAGCTGCTTTTCCTAAACCTGTTGATCTTGCAGGCTCCGACAGATTTCTTATTCTCTGATAATTGTTTCGGTTAGAAGCACAAGTTTTCCCAACCTCACAGAAAAAAAGGATCAGATTTATGGTTACCAGAGGTGGTGGTGGCGGTGGGACAAATAGGAGGAAGGTGCCTGAAAGACATAAACTTCTAGTTACAAGACACATAAGACCAACGAATGTAACAGACGGCATGAGAACTATAGTTTAATGTATTATATATGTGAAAGCTATTTAGAGAGTCAATCTGGAGAGTTCTCATCACAAGAAATTTTTTTTCCTTTTTGGCTTGCTCTGCATGAGATGATGGGCGCTGATGGAATTTATAGGGGTCACCATGCCATGCTATGTGGAAGTCTAGCGTGCCGTACACCTTACACTTACACAGTGATCTATGTCAACCGTAGCTCAGTAAAACTGGTGAAAAATAAAAGCGTGGATTTTGGCCTTTTACAAGGCGTAAGCATCCTGATGAGCCACAATGTGTTTGCTAAGTGTTTGCTAACTCCTGAGCAAAGCTGAGACCTAAACCAGTCATCCCTGGGCAGGTGCGAAATTGAAGCAACTCTCGAGAGGCTGAAGAAACTAGAACGGGACCTCAGCTGTAAAGAGCAGGAGCTCAAAGAGCGGGAAAGACGTCTGAAGATGTGGGAGCAAAAGCTGACGGAGCAGTCCAACACCCCGGTGAGTGCTCCCCACAGGGTGACTCGGCCCCCCACTTAGAAGGTGCAGCCCTACCTCCTCCCATCCTGCCTCCTGCCCCCATGGGGAAGGGCCCATGTGCACACTCAGGGAGCATGCAGCTCTCATTTCAATGAACAAAATGCCAGAAATTTAAAAGAAAGGCTTAGCCTATTTCTGGCTCTTCCTCTAAGAAAGAACGGTTACTGTCAGTGTTTGTGTATTAGAATCACAAAAATAAAATGCAGTGTATTTGCACACCATCTGTTAGATCCCCAGAACACTGGGGCTCTAACATCGTCTAAAGGCCGATTAACTCCACGGAGTCCATCCGTGATGAATAAGCGTAACATGGAGGCAGCTAGCTGTCTAAGAGTCTTCGTGTAGCAGAACTTAACCAAGTTTTCCTTCTAAAAGAAAGCGAACTTAGTGACATATAAATGACAAGCATTAATATTACTCGCTCAATTTAGTGTTAGAATCATTGCAGCGAAAGATTGCAAAAAGACTTTCCTTGGGACCAGCCTCCGATAGTTAACTACATCTAGGAAATACCTTGGTTTTCTTCCAAGTCTTCTAAAATTCTTTTTAAGGATTTCACTATTTATGTTCTTAGCTTGTGTCTATATGTTGCCATGATATAGTAAAGTCTAATCAGAAGTTCAGGAGCCTTCCCTCTTTTGAAATGATTTTTCATTTCAGGAATTAAGTATAAGTTTATCATTGGCTTTTTCAGGGTTTTTAATGGGTAATTTTTGTTCACTCTAAAATCACAAGTAATGATAAGATTACAAGTAAACTTGATATGTATTTTAAATTCATTTTTAATAGTTGCTATAGCAGTTATACAAAAACAAAAAAACAAAAAACTTAAATGCCCTTCTCTTTGTGATCTTCAAAAACCTTTCCTATTTTTATAAGCCTTTATCTTCCTTAAGCAGCCAGTGCCCAGTTGCAAAGTATTTTCCAGTGTCTAAAGAATAGAAGACTTTGCCTCCTTTTCCACTTTATGTGGAGAAGCAACCTGATATCCAAAAAAGGAAAATAGAGTGAAGTTAAATGTTTATTATCAGATTTAGCTTTTTCCAAGATGACTTTGGCTGTGCAGGAACTTCCAAAGTCAGAACTGAACTGCTATACATAAGACCGCCGTAGGACGTTAAAAGGTACCACGTTTTACAAAAAATAAATAAATAAAAGGTACCACATTTTAGAAGTTCAGTGAATGTAACTTGGCTCTCAGGCCGGAAGTCAAGGGAAGTCTCCTGTTCTGGCTGAACTGGTACCAACAGGCAGACTCAGAAAACATTACCCTGAGGGGTTACAAGGAGAACTGCTTCTCCCAGAGCTGAGAAGAGGCAGAAATACGGCTGTCTTCTGAAGGCTGCGAGGTGGCTTTTTTTTTTTTTTAAGTACACTGAAATCTTAAACTATAAAGCACTGCATGGCTTGACTCTTTCTAAATGTAGCATTGTAAGAAAAAAAACTTTACTTATTACAGTATGCCTTAGAATCTTTCTTTGGTTTTTTGGCATTCGTTTTGCTAAGAAATCATGGGCTGCCTTGTGCACATTATTGCTATTAGTAACACACTTGTATAATAAATAATGAAACAGTAGGAGTGCTCAGTAGGTTGTATGCTTGCGTTTTAACTCCAGAAAACTTTCTGTAAAGGAACTGCTCTGAAGGCTACCATCTAACAATGGACAGCATGAAGCATGATCTCAGAGATTTTCTTCCCTTTTTTTTTTTCCTCTATGAAGGCTAAGTTTTCTTTCTTAACAGTACTTGCTTTTAATGTCTCTTCTGCTTAGAGCTGGTGTTTCTGAAGGAAAGAAAGTTTGTGCTCAGGTATTCTCTAAGTAGGTATTTTCTTTTATCCTCACATCAGTTTCTAGTTGACTTTAAATGAAGTTTCTGAGCGAAAGATAAAATGAACCTTTTTAAAAGGAAGTAGCTGGAAGCTTAGGCTTTCCATATGTATGTAGCCTCATCTTAATTATAAAAGTTTAACACTTATGGAACTTCATAAAAGATAGTATTATTGGGTTTATTTCAAGGAAGGACACTATTTTCTTTCCTGAAATTGAAACATTATTGAAGGTATTTGGGAAGATGAATTCTCCACACCTAAGTTATAATGTTTATTATTTTTTATTGCTGTAACTTGATGTAAGAATTCAATTTCTTTGCAACATATAAACTTATTTGAGAGGCTTCTGTTGAGAACTTAACATAATTGTGAGGAAGGACCCATGAAATAATAAATCAGCAACAAAGTGCTAAGAGAATCCAACAATTGGAAACAAATCTGAAAAGCTGGGAGGTTTGACTGCAAGGAAAGTAAAATCCTGTTTCCAGTGATAAAGGATCTAAGCGACTTTTTTCTTCCATATAACTGGTACTAATTTTTAGCTGAAGCATATGAGGTTCTTACTGAACTAACAGCTCTGGGAATCTCTATTCCTAATAGAGTAAGATATTTAAAAAAAAAAAAAAACTCGACTCCAGGGGGCGCCTGGCCAGCTCAGTTGGAGAAGCACAGGGCTCTTTATCTTGGGGTCATGAGTTCAAGCCCCACATAGGGTGTAGAGATTACTTTAAAAAACCAAAACTTAAAAACACACACACACAAGTCCCCCAACCTCAATTTAAAAATTAGGAAATTGGCCCTAAAAAGTATCTTTTCACCGAGGATGTAAAGGTCATCCCATATGTTACCTGTACATTGTTTATCATAAACTTACCAATATTTAATCAATACCAAAAATATAAACCTCAGTTTGCTAATTATTCCTCAAAAGAAGAGGCAGTAACACTTTTTAAGATCCTGACAGTTCTACCTCTGAAATGAATGTGACCGACATTTATGGGAATAGCTTAGCTGTTCAAAATAATTACATAAGGTAGAAAATTGATATCTGTATCCACTGTGAGGGGGAATTCCTTAAAAAAAAAATCTGCTAAAAGAAGGACACTTAGAGAATAGAGCGAAAAGGCAACAGTCTAAACAATTAATACTAATTTGCCCTCCCAATTTTCATCTGTAGTTACATACTTGTTTATAACTTAAGTATTGGAGACAGATCTAGAATTTGTTTACAAGTAAATTATAAGTTGAATAATTAGTATTATATCTGGCTGTAATAAATAATAAATGGAAACTAGTGAATTCCAGACTCATTTTTAGTTTAGAGTCGAATAGTAATCTAGGTAAAAAGGAGATTAATGGCTTAGATTTCCTTAGAAGGATATTGACTACTGAACTGGTTTCAAACTTCCTCTAAGCTTTATTCTTTGGTACAAGGTTTCTCAATTTTTACTTGAGATTTAATCTCTATTTATTTCTTTTTTAAATTTAATAGTTAGCTAAACGTTTCTGTGAAAGAGAAATGGGGAAAAATTAAGTGCAACCCTCAAAACTATTTTAAGTGAAATGAGGGCTTAAAACTTGCAACTTCCTTCCCATTTGAAATTTGGCCCGCTATGGTGCTTTGCAAACTTTTGGTTGTGATTTACTCTGTCATTTATAAATTATGGCAAATATGCTGATGCCAAACCTGCCATTAAATAAATTCTCACATAATTCCCTACATTCATTTATTTCACTAATCATTTACCTTCTGCGCAGCACCCACTAATTTTGTGGTATCTGTTTCCTTTATTTAAATTGGTCCTAATTTCTCTTTTTACTTCTGTCCTTTCTTCCCTCCTGATAGCTTCTCTTGCCTCTTGCTGCAAGAATGTCTGAGGAGTCTTACTTTGAATCTAAGACAGAGGAGTCAAACAGTGCAGAGATGTCATGTCAGATCACAGCAGCAAGTAACGGGGAGGGCCATGGCATGAACCAAAGTCTGCAGGCCATGATGCTGATGGGCTTTGGGGATATCTTCTCAATGAACAAAGCAGGAGCTGTGCTGCATTCTGGGATGCAGATAAACATGCAAGCCAAGCAGAATTCTTCCAAAACCACATCTAAGAGAAGGGGCAAGAAGGTCAACATGGCCCTGGGGTTCAGTGATTTTGACTTGTCAGAAGGTGACGATGATGATGATGACGGTGATGAGGAGGATAATGACATGGATAATAATAGTGAATGAAAGCAGAAAGCAAAATGATAAAATTGAAAATGTTTGGAAAAACGAAAGAAACTTGTTATCTCAGTCTGTACAAAAACCAGTAAGGAGGTAGAAAACTGAGCACTGAATTTTTAGGCCAATCACATTTCGATGACAGTCATTTCTTTGATGATTTTACTTCTTTTTTTCCTGCTTACAAAAAAGTGGGGGGTGGGGGGATTAAGCCAGAAAGGTATATTTAATGAGTCAGCAAATGTGGTGCCTGATTATAGAAATTTGTGATTCTATTATAGTAGTTTTAACTAATTACATTCTGGCTTTTTTTTTAATGAATACTTTATAGTTTGTATTTGATTTATTTAATTGCTTAAGAAAAAATTCATTTTGAAAAAGCACTCTTCCTCCTAATTCTTCTTTGACACTGATTCTCTTGTAACACACTACATTTTTTTTCTTATGGTTATACACTGTACTTTCAGAAATAACAGCGACTACAAAATCTACCAATAAAAAAATGGAGATGAAAGAAGGCTGTAACAAATGCTTCTTCAGAAATACCTAAATGCCAAGGATTTTCTTTTTTCTTTCTTTTTTTTTAAGATTGTATTTATTCATGAGAGACAGAAAGAGAGAGAGAGTGAGAGGCAGAGACCCAGGCCGAGGGAGAAGCAGGTTCCATGCAGGGAGCCTAATATGGGACTCGATCCTGGGACTCTGGATCACAACCTGGGCTGAAGGCAGCGCTAAACCGCTGAGCCACCCAGGCTGCCCGCCAAGGACCTTCAATACCTAATGGCACAACTACTCACAGTAAAACCTGAGAGATGTTCTCAGTAGTACACTGGAAGAAGAAATACTCTAATTTGAAACCAGCAGCAGATGTTGCAGGCTTTCATATCAGTGCTAGCCCTGGAAGCTTCTGCACAACACACCAGCATCTAAGGCTTAGTTTATAAAAGGAGAAGGACCTGGTCTTAAAGGGATACTTCCAGGCAGCACAAGTGCTACTCAGACCTGCTCCGCACTTCCAGTAAGGCGTATACGTGTTTGTTTTCCAGAGGGGCATGATAAACCTAGATTCAAAATACACGTACCGATGTTTTAAAGAGCGAACTAAATATTATAAAAGGGATAGCAAAGATAAGTTATACTCACTGACAGAAGTACAGGATGAAGGGTCTTTCTTATCAAATCCAGCCTTCTAGAGTTTTTTTTAATTTTTCTTTTAACCCTGACTCAGCCATGCTGGTGTTAAATGGAAGTAAATGTAGATGCTGCTCTAAAAACCTAGTTAGCCAGAGAAATATTCTCAGAATGTTATCACCTTTGTCAAAGCTGGTTTAAACTATAAAACATTGATATAAAAAAACTACAAAAAAAATACACACACACACATACAGAAAGGCAAAAGAATAAAACCTTTTTTTTAGCCTGTATTGGAAAGAAGTGCCATTCATTTGACTATTAAACTAAAATATTTCTGGTGGCTCTTTTTATGGGAAATTTAAGAAAGGATATCATCATAGATATTATCTAATACTATTTCCAATATATTCAATCATAAAAAGCCTCTTGAAATTTGAAGCATGACATGCTTCTGATCCCTATTAACAGCTGAAAAATATCACAAAATGATCAGTACGCTGGGCCAGCTTTATTTGGAGAAAAATAACTATTAAAATGTTCTGGGTGTGAAATGTAGAACGATCTATATACTATACTACAGTGATAAAGAGAAGAATCTGGAGTCAAATTATGATTCAAAACTGCTGTGCAATCTGTTAAAAATTATTTAACTTCGGTGTGTCTGTCTGTTCATTTCTGACATGGGGATAAGAAGAGTACCCACTTCAAAGGAGTGTCGTAAGGATTAAATGAGATAATACATGTAAAGCACTTAACACAATACCAGGCCCATGGTGAGTGGTCAGTTAATCTTAGCTACTATTATTTATGCCAGTGAAAAGACACTAAAAAATAAGTGGTTACAGTAACCTGAGAAACTAAATTATCAATTTCCAATAATGTTTGTTGAGTAGTATGGGACGGAAGTTAAAGTGAAAGATTTTAGGAAAGATTCAGAGGACATTCTTAGAATATAAACAAATTTAATCTGTTGCTCTCTGAAGACTGTATCTGGGGTGTCCGCAGGCCCTGCTGCCGCCCGTTTCTAGGTAAACCTTCCCCCTAGAAGATGGGTTCCCTACATATCCAATCTGGTACAGCTGCTGTCCATGCCAACGTATGTAGGTACGCGCACACCACTGTCTAGTGCTAGCCCGGGCACAAACACCGACGGGGAAGTCTCCCTGACTCCAGTTGAGACCCTGAAGCAGAACATCTTGGAGCAGAGCAGAGGGAGGGTTTTCAGCCCTTGCCTATGCAGCATGTCCTGGGGACACTGTGAAAGGCAGAGCCAAAGGGGAAGCACATCTTTCTGGGTAAAGATAAAGTCATTCACTCCACAGATGCTCACGGAGCCCCCTTGTCTCTGTGCTGGGTGCTGTTCCAGGGACCAGCCACAGGGAAACCCTTGTGCTCCTGGAGCACAAGTGCTAGCGAGCAGAGGTCCCGACAATAAACAAATGCGTTCTAGGGTATGTAAACGTTTGCTAAGTGCACGCTGAAAAAGGGAGTAGGGAAGGAGGCCGACACGTGTAGAGGAGTGCTGTAGATTTTATAGTGTGGGCAGGGAAGGTCTCACCGATAAGGGGATCTCTGTGGGCTCATTTTGGGATCTGTGTACTTTACGTCAGGATGTAAACCCTTGTCTCTCATTTAAGAATCATCATCAAATTTAGAACATATAAACAGGATGAAACTGACATTTTTCTTCATTTACATATAAATCTATTGTAATTGCAATAAAGGTTTGGCATGTTAATAAAAGTAGCCAATTAGGACCAAAAGAGATAGGTCATAGGACTTTATGCTCAGAGCTAGGTTTACCGTTAATTAGGCAACATTTCCCTGATCTCTCAACTGCTACCATTTTCCTCACCAGTATTTCAGAGATGGTTGTGGCTCAGAACTCTACCAAGAAAAAATGTCAGGGATTTAGGATACAGCAGAATTGAAAGCTTCAGTGATAAGCTTGAAACTGTTCTCCACCGGGATCTGTAATATAGTTACCGCACGGTATCATTTTACTCTGTTCCAAATCAGTGTCTTTCTAGGGTTTTGAACATCCCTAAAATCTGAATCGTATAAACAAAATTTTAAAGTGGTCTCACTCTATCTGTGACGATTATTTAGAAGACTTTAGACTCCATTATTCTATTATTTTTTCAAAGAACTGTTTAATACACAGAATTTCTAAAGCTGATGTGAATCGTGCAGCTTCTAATTCACTTTTCAGATCAGTTTTTGAAATGGCAATATACTGATGTTGGGTCTATTGCCAATTACTTGACTTACAAAAATGTACATTTATAAAGAGAATAAAGTAACACTAATAAATTTAAAGATTCAAAATGATCATTGAAACTCTAAATTGTGGTAGTAACTGTTAGAGCCATACAACTGAAAATACAACTACTCTTTTTTATCTTTTTTTCTGTATTCATAAAGTCCATCATGTAGAATTCGATGACGCTACCAGAAACTCTCATCCAGGACCCTAATGGTGTTTGAGAGTGCTGGGGCACAGTTTTGGTTGTCAGGGTGACTGGGGGTGTGTTTAGTGCCCAGTGCCAAAAATGGTAACAGTCTACACGCCTGAGGCAGTCCCTCCCAGTAAAGAACTCCATCCAAAAAACCCACAGCCTGGTCCCTCCCCTCACTGGGAAACTTGCTAAGCCTGGCGGTTAGAGTTCTACGTCTCATTTTTTTTTTCTCCTTAAACAAACTTTCTCAAGTCAAAAGATGCATTTTCAAAATCATAACCTAATACAATCTGAATTTTATAGGTTTGTGACATTTATCCTGAATCTCCACTTGTGGAAATGGTTTTCTTTCCCTTTAAGAATGCTGGTAGAAACTTTATAAAATAGCAAAGTTTACCTGGGGGAGGGGGTCACTCTTATTACACCAATTCCAAAATAAATAAAAGAGAAAAACATCACTGAGGGAGCCACAGTTCTGCAGGGCAGCCAGGTTAAAAGGACTCTTTGTTTAAGAAAAATCACATTTTAATATTTTACATTAATAACCAAGGGGAAAGGGTTGGAGGCACGTAGCACACTTGTTTTGGATGCTCTGAAAATGTTGAGGGCCAGTTTTTAGCCAGTGATTTTTTTTTTTTTAACACGCAGCAAATCTGTTAGACTTTAACAACAGCTGAGGTATTCACAACTGATCCCTATTAAAATCAAGGAATGGGAGGTAAGATTTGGGAGAGATCCCGAATGACTTCTCATAGCATTATGATGTACATAACTTTATTTTTCAGAGTTTACCCTGGAGCAGTGAGCGTTTCATAAAAGAACATCTTAAAAGCTATTCTGAGTTAAATAAACATTGATACTTTTTTTGGTTTTTGATAACACTAGACTTGTTGCGGCCTTTTACAAACTAGCAGTGTCTCACCATACCACATTTATAATAGAGCATAATTTTTCTATAATCAGGCACCTTTTGCTGCTTTTTGAGTAAGACTTTTTTCCTGTTCCGACTCTAAGCATTGCCAGAGAGAAGAATCTGTTCTGTTCTTTTGATTGTGGCATAGCCTGCAAGCTGTAGCATTTCTGTGATGAAAAATGAGTGTGTAGCAGGGAATCTGAAGGGCTAGCAGTGTTCCTTCAGGCTTCAACCTACTTGCATTCTATTGCCTGTGAGGAGCTTTCTGGCATGTGATTACTGACTTTAAAACTAGAGTTTTAAGCACCTACATTATTTTATATAATGTGCAGAATAGTTTATCTTTTAACGTCAGCTACAAGACACTGCACATACTGCCTTTGCACTCTTCAAAAATTTTGTACTAAATACTAGAAAATATTTATATTCTTTGAGTGTGAGCTTTGAATAGATGATGGCATTATCACTTTATTTTTTTTAATGAAACCTTTTTCTCAACTATTCTATTACAATGTTATTCTGAGCAAATCCTATGCCAAATATCTTGTACAATGTTTGTATGGAAGATTACATTTCACTCGTGTGTGGTAAGACTACTCGGTTACTGATTTCATAGTTGGAATCTGATACTCCAGCACAAAGTTCACGATGTATTCAGAAATCCAAGTTGGTGTCATACATTTCATTTCGATGTGAACTTTTCTTTGCTTTTCTTTGTTTTAAGACTCCATTTTGCAATAAACGTTTTGACAGTAAATCCCTTTGTTATGTGTTGCTGTGTATATCAGATCTTTGTTAGACTGGATTCCCGACGTCCTTGGAAGGACACTGCCACACGCGTGCACACGAATGTGAGCTTTTCTCCCCCCCGAAATCAGTTGAGTGTAAATAATGAAGTTGTAACGTGATGGGCCAGTCATGAGGTGAATTTTTTTTAATCCCCAAAGAACGAAAGGCTTAGAGCTCACCCTACAGCAGATACACTGACGTGCTAAGGAAATGGTAAACCACGATGTGGCTGGAGATCATTACCTCTTACCCCCGTCTTGCCAAATTCAAACCGTCTTGAAGTGGTGCCTGGCTCCGGCCTTCCTCTCACTGATCTCTGCAAGCCTGATGCAAGAATCCTGCTGGAGTGATTATCCGAGTGAATCTGTGCCTTTCCCTTGGTGTCATCTTGATGAGCACCCTCGGAGGGCTACAGAACTCTTCCCTCCTCCTTTTGACCCTAAAACCAAATATGTCGGTTTTGATTAGTTGTTTAGTTTACAACTTTTATACAAGAAATACTTATTTATCCATTATGTTTAGCACAACATTTGGGAATTGTATACAAATCAAAACACCATACATCCCCCACTCTCTATAGAGGCTTAGCCTTGATGCAGGGAAATATTTCTGTAACTCAGTCTGCCGCTCTTTGAACTCTTCAAAAAAAAGTTCCTTATTTCACATTTGTTTGCGTGATGGGAAAAGGGAATGGCATGCTTCTGCAGCTGTGTTCGGCTGCCCTGTGAAGACAAAAACTTGTCGTGTGTTTCCTTTGATCAAATTCAGTTTTAGATTTTCTTCAAGTCATTTTCCTTTCTGCATTACTGAAGCAGGTGAGTGCATGTGGCGAGTCCTACGTGTATCAAGTATTTCAGAGGAGGAGAGGGGCGATCCTGCGGGAACCAGGGCACATGGGGATGCAGGGTATATATAGTACAGTAGTGATTCATACCTTTGCAACTTAGCAATAATATTCACACTCTACTCATTCAAACATATTGTAACTTGTGGGGTTTTTTAATCTGCTTGGCTCCCTAGAGATGTTAACCATTGCCAGAGAATTTGAGCATTTTAAGCAAAGATGTTAAGCATTTCCCCTTTATTCTTGGACATGCACACACTGCATCCAGTAAGGCAAACATGCCCTCCCTCTTCCTCTCCCTCACACCACTGCCAGTGTTTGGCCTACTTGCTTTTCCTCATCTGGAATTACCTCTCTGTTCCTTGCCCTACAGTACCCAACTCCAGCCACCACGCCTTCTGTTCCCCATCTTAGTCTATGAAACCCGCCCCTTTCCCTGGAATGCCTCACAGATATTGAATTCTATACCAGAGAATTGAGCATTTTAGTAAATGTACCTTGCAGTTGTATTCATCCAACAACACGGTTCAACAAAAGTTAACCCAGGGTTATAGGCCAGGCATTCTCTGCCAGGCACTGAGTAAACCAACGTGAAGGTAGCCTTGAGCTCTTGCATCTAAAATCCACATCTATTTCAACCCCAGTACTTTTCCTACTGGGGTTTTGAGCATGTGAGTTCAAAATACTTGCAGATTAGAAGGATTAACCCTCCCACCCTCTGATTTTTAGAGTAATAGTAAAAGCAACCAAATTCAACTTTTTTTCAACTCATGCACAAAAAAAATGTTACTTATAACAAAGGTTGAAAGACACTTGGCCATGATTCTCTTATGAGTAATCCAACCATTCTAGCAAGATAAGTTAGTTAAAGCTAATGGCTATGGCAAACTAATTCAAGACACAGGATACATCAATGTTTTTCAGATTATATACGCATTTATCATTTAGCCTATGGCCATGGGCATATATTGAAGCGAGTAGCCCTTTGGCTTTGAAAATGACGCAGGCCAAAGTTCTTTTGCAAAGTCACCTTTCCTGTCTCCACCTGATAGGGAGGTTAGTTGAGTTTCCATTAGAAGAAACTCTACAATCTGAGTTTCTTGTGACGGAGTCCAGTTTCACTTGTCCTTCATCATCCGTGGGTCCTAATATTTGGTTAATGCAAGTGAGTCATTTGGCTGAACACTGAGAAGCATGTAAGTCATCTGATTACCAAAGGGTTGCTTTGGGATTTTCATTCATAATCATATGATTCTCCTGTTGACGGAGAATTCCAAGGGAGGCTCTGGTATCTGGCAAAACGTCAGAAACTTCTTGACTGCCAAGCCCTGTTGCGGGAGGTAAGACTCCTCTCGGTGGGCCACATGCCAAGAGAGGACGATCTCAAGACCTACAGGCCTGCTGCAACAGCTCGCCAAGTGCAGTGAATTGTTAAAGAGAAGCGGGTGCCCCGTGCTTCTGTGGGCACAGTGCTTGGAGCACTGAGAAATTCCCCATAAGGTCAGGAAAGGTGCTTTCCATTCAACATAACCTGTAGGAGGAACCGAGCCAGAGCAGCGGCCGAGAGCTAATGGGAAGACAAGGGATAAACCAAAAAGGCAATGACGATCTTGCTTTTGTGTTTCACCGCATTCGTATTTCCCATGCAGCTGCTGCCCTCCTTTGAGATTGGCTCATGGACTGAAGACGACGTGGTAAGCCTGCTTCTGCTAACGCCTCACTTGGCCCCGGGCAGGTGGTTCAGACATTTGTCCACAAGTTAAAAACGCAGCCAGAGGGGTCTGGGCCTTAGGAAAGTCGAACTAGGAAAAGTTGACAAATGCCTTGTTTTTCTATTTTTAATGCAGTAATGATTTTAAATAAGGCCTCAAGAGCAAAGCAAGTATCTCTTCAAATCTTACAAGAGGATTCCACCTCCCTATTTGCTCTGAAAGGTATTCCAGAATACTATCATGAATACCAATGACAACGTTAAAGGAGTGATCCAGGATACCAAATGTACATACATGAAAAAAAAATTGATCTTAAATTTTCCTAAAATACCAGGGATGGACTTGAACCACAGCGGAGAAAGATCTGGTAAAGGCAGTGCTAGCTGAGAATCTGCTGAACAAGGTTTCCTTCCTACCTTAGGACTGTTTGGAAGTGACAGGTTCATCCTTATCCGGGCCTTCCCAAGGGGGAATGGCTACGGGCTCCCTGACATTCTCTGCAGCTGGAGCCAGAGGGGTGGGGACAGATTCCTTAAGCCCAAAGGAAGTACTACTATACCTTACACTTGGGTAGAGACCCTAAGGAGCAATCCTTCTTAGTCTGTTGTATCTCTCTCTGTCTTTAGTGAAAGGTCCAGAGAATTCCTGATCAGAGACCTTGGGGGCTTATGCCTTTCCATGTCCATCTTATACGCTCAAGGTTTCATTGAATGAAAGCCAGCTGTCATGCCAGCTTTAGCAAGCCCCCAACCCAGGGAACAGACCAGATGCCCAGTATACAAACTCACTACTTGAAACTCTTGGGAGGGTCTGTGTACCCACCTCAACTTGGTTTCTGGACACGGGCATTATCCCTCTCCGCCTACTGTCTTCTGGTGAAGACTGCTTTCAACGTTAGCTAGCTTCTTTGGCTTCTATAGGGTGAGAACTACCCTACAGAACTTGGTACCTCTTGCCTCCACTTCTTCCCATCCATTGGGCCTCCTTGACTATAAGGTTCCCACCATCCTGCTTCACAAGGAAAAAGAACTTAGGATCTCCTTTGTTTACGGGCCTGGATAGAATCCCTTTATCCCCTGCTGCAAAGTTGGCTCATCCTATTTGTGAGGAAATGTTTTAAAAAGTCCTGAGCTCTAACAGTTATTTTTAGTCTTTGAGGTTGAGTGGTTTTTTTAAGCCATGTAAGTAAATCTCAGGGTCAAGGGCTCCCCAGAGAATTCCTGGGACTGGGTCTGGCCCCCCCTTCTATCTGTGTGAGAGGCTACCAGTAAACACGTGCCAAGTGAAATTCAAGGACCGAGGGTCACTGGGTCCAACTTCACTCTATACAGGAAACTCCGTGCTTTAACGTGTCTCGGGCCACATAGCTACTTCCTGACCAGGCCTAGAACACAGGGCACATTCTCTACCCTCTCCTCTGTCCACCGCTGTGTGGTCCCTGTTCCTCATACGATTCCCGGGTATATCAGTGAGCCTCAGCAACCTCGGGGACAACCAGCATGTAAAGAAAAATCATAAGTAAGAGCCTTCTTGAAGGACTTTGAAAAATCTCACAAATGAGGAGGAAAACCAACATTCCCTAAAGTGTCCCAAGACTTCCTCAGGGAGGGATATCTCCAACTGGAAAGCTTGAAGTTTTAAAACAATAAAGAGAATGTCTTTCATTTCACCTTTGTGGTTGAGTCAAAAAGTTAAAGTGCAAAATTACAGACATATTCATCTATTGAAAATGTGTTTTACTGTGAAGTCTGGCCACTGAGCAGCTGTGAATCTTCAAAACCATGTATGTCCTCTCTTTCACAGTATTTTTGGGTTCAGCAGCTCGTCAGAAAAGGCAAGTAGTGGAATCACTTACCTTCTCAATTCATGCAGTTAACTTTGCTCTGGACACGATTTCGTCTAATTTTGTTCTGCCTTCCCATCCCTTCCTTCAGGGGACTCTTCAACCGAGATGAGCATATACGCGAGCTTGTTTAAGGAAAACAACATTACGGGAAAGCGACTGCTTCTTTTGGAGGAAGAAGACTTTAAAGACATGGGCATTGTCTCCAAGGGGCACATCATTCACCTGAAGGTACCTCACAGAGGGAGGACGTGTGGTCCGCAATCTCCCCTGAGCCCCTGCTCTATAGCAGAGCTGGTGTTAGAGCCTGAGGACACACACACAAATTCCAGTACTGAAGCACTTTCATACCAGCAGACCTTTAGCTGCCATCCCCTTGGGACCATGACTCCCTCCTCATAGTCCAACAGCAAAAGGGTTAATAGCTGGCACAGCAGAAGTCACCTCGCTACACCTGAATACCACTCTATGCCCCCAGGAAGTCTCCAAACTAGTGGAGAAGACAGGTGTTAATCATGCAATGAGGGTAAAATGACAGCTTGTAGGAAATGCCACAAAGGAGAAGGGAG